TATGCATTTGTGTTTTTTTTAGTTAATACTTTATGCCTTATATGATACAACTTAAATTTAATATTTTCTAATTTCACTGTCAAAATGCAACATGATTTAAGATTGAACAACATTAAATACAAATACAAATATACAAGTATTAGTTATGAATGTTGCTAAATGAGCAGAAGGTATTATTTCATCTAATGAGAGAATATCTTAGTTTCAAAACTATTTCACAATTAACATTTTATGCTAACAAATAAAATAGTAGCTAACCCAGAGACCACATGCAAACAGAAACACACAACAAGATGTACAGTGAACATTCTTCCTCCATTTGTTGTTTAGAATTTGATTGCTGAGCTCTTAATGGAATGATGAGAGTTTTGTGTTTTATTTCTATCTATAGGCAAAGAGATCTGTCCCTCTGTTGTCTTATATGAGCGTCATATTTCAGCAAACATAATTAAATCATCACAAACAGAGCCTTCCGTTAGTCAGACCAGAGTTATTGCTGTTGAGCTTTAATGCATATGAAAGTACTTCACATTCTGCTGAGGGAAAAGAAAGGCCGCTAAATATTTCATGGGTTTTTCTTGATCAGATTATTTCTCAAAATTTTAAAGAGACACTTAATTTTTCTCAACAGCTATTTTTGGCAACACATTAGAGAAATAGATATTAAGGACAAAATTTACATGGAATGCCAAGAGCTGGTACTTTCCTGGAATGATGCTTACTGTGTCCATAAAAATAAATATCACACTGTTCACCAGAAAATGTCCTTGGCATTTTATGTGTTCTCTAAAGCTATATTCTGGTAATGTTCTGCGTCTACGGTTTCAAAGAGGGGGAGAAATCATATTTTGAATGGTGTGGTTCAATATGTATTTGGGTTTCATGCAAAAGTAAAAAGAAGACACTAGAGGGAGCTGATTTTCTTTTTACTGGGTTGTACCACAAATGCCAGTGCAACAGGGCCCTAAAAAAATGCCATCTTGTTCTCCTGACCAAGACCGAATTGCAACGATATACGGGGTGTAGAAATTCTGAATTCTAGGAGAGAGGCTGAAAGTTTCAGAATGGGAGTAGATGTTTAATTAATTTTAAGTTAGTAAAAATGTAATTCTTTATTACCCTAAACCTGCATGTTTGTCATCTTTTGATAATTACATAATTTCTTTGGTTGAAAATTTTTTTTTTTAGTTTCAAGCTCTCACTAAATGTCAAATAGGTCTAAAAATAGCTAGACTATTAGACAAAGTAAAAAAATTAGTGCTCTCAAGTCTTTCCATGAGGATTTTGTGTAGAGCACATATCTATTACTGGTTAAGAAACTAATTATAGTATTCGCAATTGTCAGAAATACCAGACCCTAAGGTGTTGTTTCTTTTGCTATCAGACAAATACCAAATTAATAATATTCCCAATTAAATTCTTTTTTAACCTTTTCTAAGCATGTACATTTTTTCCCCCTTCCTTGAGGCAAATCTTTTTGAGTGGCAGGAAAAAGCGATGTTCTGAAATTATCTAAATATACACCATCATCTGGTTTACATTTGTATAGTGCCATTTTTTAATAAAAGAATATTTGAAAAGAAGCTTGATATCCTCATTTTATAAAGAGCAAAGTTAAGATATTTTGATGTGAAATGATTTGTTTCAAGCAGAGAATTAATAGTAGATTGAGGATCATCTTCCAGTTTTGCTTTCCAGTTAGTCAACCAAGGGACCTGTTTGTTTTTAGTTCTGTAGACGTATTTCTCTTTAATACAGATAGGAGTGATTAATTCAAAAACAGCATGGCAACTGTTACCATGGATTTCTAGTTCTTCTTCCTCCCATGCTCATGGGAAGTTTACAATTCCCCGCTCTCTGAAAGTTGGTTACAGTGATAAAAGCTTTGGCTTTGGTCAATGAGATGGGAACAGAAGTGATATGTGTCCCTATTGGGGTGTGATTCTCCGCATTCTCTCCTCTTGACAGGATGAACTCAGAAGCCTTGTGTTGAGCTGGCAGTATCAAAAGCTAATGCAATCTCAAGAAATAACAAGCGTTAGTGAGAATGTAGTGAAAAAGGATCCCTGGTGCACTGACTGAGGGATTATAAACTGGTGCAGCCACTAAGGAAAACGGTATGAAGTTTCCTCAAAAGATTAAGGATAGAACTACCATATGACCCAGAATTCTACTTCTGGGTATTGATCCAAAGGAAATAAAAACACTAACTAAAAAGATATCTGCACGCCCATGTCCATGCAGCATTATTTACAATAGTCAAGATATAAAAACAATCTAAGTGTCCATCGAAAGATGAATAGGTAAAGAAAAGTTGAGCGCGCGCGCACACACACACACACACACACACACACACACACACACACACACACACACAGAGGAATATTGTTCAGCCATAAAAAAGAAGGAAATCCTGCCATTTCTGACAACGTGAATGGAAATTGAGGGCATAATGCTATAAGAAAAAAAATTAGACAGAGAAAGAGAAATAGTGCATGATCTTATGTAATTGTGGAATCTAAAAAATTGTGGATACAGAGAACACATCACTGGTTGCCAGAGGCAGGGGGTGGGGAGTGGGTGAAATGAGTGCAAGCGATCGTAAAGTACAAACTTCCAGTTACAAAAATAAGTCCTGGGGATAGAATGTACAGGATGGAAACTATAATTAACAATACTATATTGTATTTTTAAAAGTGGCTAAGAGAAGATCTTAAAAGTTATAACTATGTGTGGTGATGTATGTTAACTAGACTTATTGTGGTGATTATTTCCCCAAATATACATATATCGAATCATTATGTTGTACCTCTGAAGCTAATATGTTATATGTCGATTCTATTTCAATTTAAAAAGTGTGTTTCTGACATGGAGACAAAAAATAAACCAATGGAAAACAATCAAGAGCTCACAAACAGAAGCACAGAGATTAAAACTTGATAGATGATAAAAGTGGTACCACAGTTCTCTGGGGAAAGGATAAATTGTTCAATAAATTTTGTTGAGAAAAAAAGAAAATAAAGTCCCTATCAACCTCGATTTCAGGGTGAATAAGAGGATCAGAGCCCTCTGAATGAGCAAGAAAGAAACCTTTGTTATTTAACACTAAGATTCTGGGGTTTTCTGTTATGGCACCACCACTTAGTTTATCCTGATGGCAGACTAGTTAAGGATGTCAACCAAGTGAGAAATCCAAAGGCCAAGAATGAAAATGTGGCAAGAAAAGATTAAATTAAAAAGCTTTAACAAACCCAAAGTACTTAATATAGAAATCTCTAATGACTTTGACATGAAAATCAATAAAGAGGAGTTATTAAATATTAAAGTCCTCATATGTTTTTAGTTAAAATTCATCTAAGGAAATCAAGTGAAAAAATAAATGAGACATTATTGTGTTCAACTCAGATTCTGATTGTGAAAACCTTAATCTTAAACTGTGTAAATGAGTGTGGTGCTTTAACTCATCTGAATCTTCCAATCTTGAAGTCGGGGGCAATCTGGAGTTGAAATTTCCATGTGAAAAAAGACCATGTATATAGCAACAATATCTATCACAGTGAGGAAGACATATTGTGTCTCACCTAAAATAGATGGTTTGATTTCTTAATCCATCTCGATGTACAGCATTTTCCCAAAAGATCTTAAGATGTCCAAGTTGAAGCAGGTGCATATTTTTCTTCATCAATATCAGTTGTCCTCTTCGCCACATAGCATGTGTGACTGCCAAGACAAGCTAGAATTTCTTGACACTCTCAGAGGGCTGGGAAAACAAAGCAGCTCATTCTATATCACACTGCTTCAACCCAATGACATGCAGTGTGGGTGCCTTTACACCCATACTGTAAGATAACTGTAATTGTATCCATACCCATGGTCAAGGACACTAAGAATTTCTGCTCAGCTTTTCACAGAGTTCCCAGAAAAATTCAAAATTATCATCAGCTTAAATCTAAACAACTTCAAAATAAATTTGAAGTATTTCTTGTAATGTAGATTTTAACTCATTTATAACCTTTAAAAAGAGTCATTCCAGGGATTTATTTTGCAGGCCCTCCATTTTATAGTTAATTATAGAAAATATGTGCTTATATACTACTTACAAAAGAGAACCCTGCCTACTTCTCTTCTACAGCCTCTTATTGCCCTACTAATGCTGTGTAAGTACACGCGAACAGTCATATAACAAAATGCATTCAAGCTCTGTCTAGCAGTACAGACCTGGTGCAATTATTACTGCTCCTGCTTCATTTTTAAAATCAGAGCATGCTATTTGGTATGCACTAAGAATGATTCCAGCCACCAAGTAATGAGAATACTTGAACAAAAAGTTTATTTAGGCACAAAACACATTTAAAATTATTTGGTTGATTTGTAAAAGAGAAGGAATAGGATCTAAGGGGACAGGATGAGGGGCAGGGGTCTGTAGGTCTGCAAACAATATACCCAGTGACCAAGCTTCCTGGCAAAGATGAAGGACATGGAGATAGGGAAGAAATTCGTCATAAAGAGAAGAGAGCAACATACGCATATCATAGATCAGACACTTCCAAACTCTGGAAAGATTCCTTAGAGAGAGTCAAACCTCCTAGTCACTTGCTCCTCAATATTGTTCCACAGGCCGTCTCTTTTATAAAAACTATGATCCAGAAACAGCAGTGGTTCGACAGACTTCTCTGGTCAGATTTCCAGCTAGACTTTTCTAACTAGATTTTTATCCCCCTCTAGTGGTAATTCATGTGAACCAAAGTTTCTAGTGTCAACTGTTTGGAAATTTTAGGCCAGATTACATGCTTTCCACAGCTGGCTTTTAGAAGCCCTGTTGTGTACTTTGAAAGAGGAGCTTGGAATCTCGCTCTTTTCCAGATCATTTGAGGCAGGTGGCGTTGTTTTGAGATGCTGGTCACTTTCAAATAGGTTTTGACTTAAGGGCACACACCTTTTATTCTACAGGGAATTGAAGTAAGTAAATTACAGTACTTTATATAGCAACCTTGAGTTAATTATGAGGTCATGCCTAATTTATAGACAAAATGCCATAATGAAATCTGGGTCATGATGAGAAGAAGCATCCAAACTTGAAGTTCGATGGAGGTATTAGAGGCTGTGAACAGAAAGGAACATTGTAAGGCATATGGAAAAAAAAAAAAAAAAAAACCTGTTTGCTAGAGATCACTTTTGCAGTTCTTAACTGAATAAAGGAAACTACATTGCCGAGAACCCACTTTATCCATATGGCCCTGACTGGGGCAGCAACCTTCGGAAGGCTCCTGCAAACCTCAGTGGGCACCGGGGAGACCATGTACTAAAGGCTACTGCAGGAAATCTTGTTGGTTGGATCAAACATTCCAATCCCAACCACAGCCTAGTAGACTTGACAGACAAATTTAAAACCAATATTTGGTCCTTAAATAGATGGATAACTTATTTTTTTTTAAAATCACCTTCATCTTTTAGATAAAAGAGCAAGGATCCAAAGGTTTAAAGAAAAACAAAATTGTTTCCATCTTTCTTTCTTAATTTCTGAATTTCCATGGGTCAGTGACTCAGTGGGCCTCAGTTATGAATTTCTCCTTCTCAGTGTAAAGATCTTCCTGTGCCCCAGCTGCTTGCCCTGAATGGGAGGTATGTCTACCTCTGCAGCTCTTGCCGTCCTCCTGCAGGGTTCCTGTCACACAGCTACACAGAGGCCCCTCTACCCGGCTTGTGCAAATCTGCTCGCACCCTCCATTGTCCTCACACCAGTCCAGTCCTAAAAAAGAGTAGTTGGTAAAATTAACTTCTGACAATTCAACTCTTCAACTCATATCTAAGGGCAAGGCTTTAAAGAGAGGAGAGAAAAAAGAAAAGTGTCATTGTGAGTTTTTCATAGTCAAGGAAAAGATTTCATTATGAAGTGGGCAGTCTTCTCAGACTGGTGTCTTTAACCTCCTCATTCATCAGATTCACCTCATAGGTGAAACACAGGCAAGAGTTAGCTCAAGTCTTAAAATCTCACTGTTTTAATAATTTATAGTCTGTTTTAGGGAATATACATACTTTTTCTTCTAATAGGTCCAACTGAAATGATCTGTTCTTTAGGTTCTTTGGCATAATCTGCAGCAATCCTGGAATTTTGCGGGCAGGTCTGAAAGACAGAACACCGGAGGGAAAACTTCACATAATTAAGCTGATAACTTATTCTTCACCATGTTTCCACCTCCAAAGAGGCAGTGGTTCCAGCCCCAAGTTCTGTCATTGCTCAGATTAATTAGAACGAATGACTTCTTGATCACTGAGTCCACTGTGACTCTAGGCTTTATATTGAAGAGAATTAAATATATTCTCCACACTAGAAGTAGATTCAAAGAGCTTCCCTTCCCAGCAATGAGCATTATTGTATCTTATCAGATAGTAATGTTTGCAGTAGCATGTGTAAGTAACCCTGACCATAATTCACATCTCTATTCTGAAAACATGGGATAAGCAGAAAGCTGGAATGTTAAAGCTTGAGGACCCAAGGACCAGTGCAATAAAATCTTAGCAACATTAGCCATATGTGGAGGGATGTCCATCTGGCATGGAAGACATGATTGGTTTGCAATTTCATCCCGCCAGCCCCTCCAGAGCTTCCACAACTCTAGTGTGTCCCTGGATGTTCTGTAGAACAATTCCTGTCTAAAGAAAACCTAGATAAGCTACATCCTGAGCCTAGCAGTTTGCTTCTATAGTGGAGTAGAACATGACCCCACTGTTCACTTCAGATTCAGGTGGCTTGGTTTCTTGAGACTCTGCTGTAGTGATTCTCAAAGGGCCACTTTTGCACCCCTGCCCCATGCAAGGGACAACTGGCAGTGTCAGGTGACATTTTTGGGTGTTGCAACTAGTGGGGGAGGTGCCACTAGCATCTAATGGGTAGAGGCAGGGATGCTGCTAAATGTCCTACAATGCACAGAACAGTCCCCACAACAAAGACTGACTTGGTCCAAAATGGAAATAGTTCTGAGGTTTGAGAAACCCTAATCCAGTGTTACTCCAATGACAGACTGATGCTTCAGAGATAGGGAAGAAGAGTAAATGGACATCATTCCACTATGTTCTTTCTTATTGTGCTACCAAAGATGACTGCTACTCCTAAGCATCTGAAGATGGTTCTAATTCAGCCACTTCCAGGTGGTGTGAGACCTAAAGAACTCTACAGAGTCACATAGATCCTTTCATTTGCTGAGAAAACTGGGGCAGCAAGAAATAAGGCTAAGCATTTACTTTTCACACTTACTATTTTACAAGAATACTTCTCTGAATCGCAGAGTGACACTGCACAGTGAATATGAACTTCATCATAATCCCCAATGAACTTGAAGACTGTGACATGAAAGCGACAGGTTAGGGAGACACCGTTCTCTTCAATGCCAATGGTATTATCTTTAATGTTCTGACACCTATTACGAAAAAAAAAATTAGAATCTTTGCTTCACACTTTCATATTTCATATAAAACCATTGCTAATGGTAAAAATGCCTTTGCATTTGAAAGTAATTTCTGCACTGTGTGAATTTGTCATTTATTATTATTCCTTTATATTTACATAGTTAGTTTTAAAAGCATCAGATAGCACCTTTAATTAATAGTCTAACTGCAACTAAAAACAAAACAACTGTAGGGGCAGCGCTCAGCTTCCCTCGGCTCCAGTTCCTCATTCTGCCACTCAAAATGCTGTGTTTTACTGATATTAGTCTAACAAGTGCAAAATTACATCTTCTGTAGTTTCTTAAGTTAATTACCAATTTAGGGAGGGGATCCTGATCCAAACCTTATCCCTCTTCCCACATGTTGAAATAGATGGGAGCAGGAGGAAAATGAAGAACAGCCAAGCTGAAGAACTGCTCTGATTTAAGTGACTGTCTCTTTCCTCACCTCCCCCCACCACTTTTTTGTAGTGTTGAGCCAATAAGCAATGACACCTGCAGCCCTCCTTCAGGCACAGATAACTTGCCTCCATTATGTAGTTCCCCAAATGTATCATAGTCTCTTATGCCCCAGACTCTTTTCACATAATAATTTCCCCACTGGAAGTTTTCTTGCACTTGTTCTCATGAATGAATTCTGCTTTTTCTCTAATACCAGTCTATGTCCCCCATCCACCTTACAAATATCCCCTAGTCCTGTCCTGACCAATCAGAAATAAGTGGCTTTTCCTGGATTTGCCAACAGCACCCTGTTGAGCCCTTAGAGTGCAAGAATCAAATCATAATCCTCACTATGTCTCCAACACACTGCATGGCATGTAGTAAGTGTTTAAAAATCTCTTTTGGGTGAATGCATTAGTGAATGAATGAATCGTGCTGCCATGGTCAAGGGTGGCTCATAAGAGCCAAGAAGTTCTTTAAACTGATAAAGATAAAAAGGGTGACTCTTTTTCCTATCTTCCTTTCTCCTAGCCCACAGAATTAATAGCTTAGTTGAATAGAAAATTAAAACTTAAAGTAATCCTTCAGCATTCCCACACCTATTAAGTTTAAATTAGTCTTCAAGGCAATAGTCTCTTAAATGCTTTGAAACAAAAACTTACTTGTCATGTTGTTTCTTGTTGCTGTTACTCATTTGAATAATCTAAATTGGTTTAAAGATTCTAAAATGTTCACTGCCCATGATCTTCAGACAGACTTTCTCTCTAACCCAGATCTCCAAACTCCCAGAAAGATGATTTAAGGTTTAAGTATTCGAAGATCATGGAGCAGAAGGAAGGGGCTCAGAGAATCAGGGACAGGCTGTCTGGACACCTGCCTTAGTGTGAGCAAACAAAACAAGCACTAGATCTTTTGTCCATTCTCAGAGGAAGAATCGTCCTTTCCTTTGTCTGGGCATATGAAGAGAAAAGAGAAGTGACCTGCTTGACCCCAGAACTCTGAGTCACTAATGCTGGTGCCACCTCTGCCCTCTACATAGCTGGAGAGGAACAGATGATCCCCCCAAATTCTGAGGTGGACCCATTTTGCTGCTCACTCATTCAGCATTGAGCATCAGTTTTCCTGCAAGTTCATTGGAAAAAAACAATATCTACATCCCTCCAAGAAAGGTCAGAAGGACTCATGAATTAAAATTCTCCCACATGACAAAATCACTTTACACCTAACAATAGTTTAATTTGAAGGCCCTTATTCAAACTCTGGGGAAAGCTGAGATTTATGAACATGCTTATTGACTCACTCTTTCTCAGAGTCAAGTCTATTAACTACTATTTTAAAAATGCTCAGTGCCACAGTGACCTTCAAAGGAGGCACAGCCATATCACTTGGGTTTGCATTTGTATAGTGGCTCAGATTTTAGCCTTTTCACTTTGGGAAGACAGGTGGAGAAAAGAGGAAGGGAAGGAAGGAAGGGGAGAAAAGACACACAGAAAAAAGGAGAACTATGACATTAGCTTAAGCAACTAGGCCTGCAAGACACCAAGTAGTCACCAAGTCCTCCCCTTTGTCTCTGAGGAAGCTAAACACCAATATAGAAAGTCAAATGCCTTAGTGAGATCTTTGCTGAAAATTCCACAGTATGCCTCAGCAACCCATGCCATGAGCCAGGCCTGGCTAGTTCAGGAGTCAGTGTGTCCTGATACCTGGAGGGATCCTTCCTCTGCTCTTCACTCATTGAGTGGCCTTGGCTTAGCTGTGTACCTAACCTCTCTGTGCCTGTTTCATCTGCAAAATGGTGAATATTTATTGTTTGTCTGCCCAGAACCATACTCTTCTTTGGATGAACCATTCTTTTCCATTCGACCTTAAAGTTAATTACATAGTGTTGACCTAGGACACACTGCTCCCAAATCTGGCACCTTGGCATATTGAATACTTTAAGGTAAATGAGTTGAGAAAATGTCAGAAGTGGGAAGGTCATTCTGACTTCCTCCCTGACCCTTTTCACCTGAAAAAGGTCAAAAAATCTTAATGTGATGCCGCATCCAGAAAGTGGTAAATCCTGCCACATCCAGCACAGCCCTGGAAAATAATCCTGAGTGGAAATGGTGGGAGATTGAGAAAAGAAAGAAGACAGAAAGCTGGGATCGGGAGGCCCAATATCCACTGATGATGGAATAGAGAGCGACTTTATTTTTGCAAGTTGCTTTTATACAAGAGCATACATTTGCTGGCTAAAATGAGATAATCCCCACCCAACCTCCACCTCCTACTAAAATCATTTGCATTTCAGCACCTGCATTGTTCTCCGATCAGTTCCTCCTTCCCATTCTTAGGAGGATTTGTGGAGGCGAGGCAACCTTTGGTTGGCCTCACAGATTGCAAGAACCTTGCCAGCTTACAACCTGCTCTCCACAATGTGAGAGATGTTCCCCCATACCTGGAGGAAAGGAGCATCCTTGTCTCCAAACACAAAGGGACTCAGAGAAGAAAGTGAACAAATGGGCCTTGCCAAGTTTCCCCAGTTCACTACAATCTCTTCACACACTTTGACCTATCATTCTGATCCATGAGTGTCCACTCTTCACCAAACCTAGCATAAAACACTCAGGTTTAACCATTTGTTTGGGTCTTCACTTCCCTATGAAAGCTCCTATGTCACATAAAATATATTAAATAAATTTGGATGTTTTTCTTCTGTAATTTGTCTTTGTCCATTTAATTTTTAGACCCAGCCAGAGACCCTAAGAAGGTTAGGAAGAACTTTCTTCTCCCAGACACCAGGGATTTTTATGTTTCATCCCATACAAACAAAGGAAAAGCAGTAATATGAGAAAAACTAATCATATTCCTTTCCAAGGTATCTCTGAGTTGGAATTAGAAGAAATGCTCACTCCTTGGTAATTACAATGCTGTAAGAATGCAAGTCTAGGATTGCCAGTATCTAATGAAATCAATGATAGAGACAGACACAGAGACAGAGACAGAGACAGAAAGAGACTGAGAGAGACAGAGAAAGACAGAGACAGAGACAAGGGACAGAGCAGGGGATGGGGAGAGAATTGATAACATCTAGCTCCCTGGATCCAATCATCCTTGAGGCCATGTCCACTTCTGTGATTTGGTTTTGTAATCATTAAATGCTTTGTTTTTTGCACAAGCTAAGGTAGAATTAGTCTCTACCACATCTAATAGAAAAAACTTTGATTGATATAGTCATTTGCTTTAAGAATTATTGCATTAGGGTTATGGAAATGTTCTAAAATTAGATCATGGTGATGGTTGCACTCCTCTTGTAAATTTACTAAAAATCATTTAATTTTACACTTAAAGCAAGTACATTTTATTGCATATAAACTATGTATGAAATAAATGAAATAAAGCTTTTTAAAAAAAGAATTATTGTTGCTGGACATAACCCAGTGATTTTAAAAAATAAAGATAATTATCATTGTTGTTATTTGGTCTATAGTCTTTTCTTCTTTTTTATTCATTCAATACATTCTGTTTCATCACCATAATATTTCAGAAAATATACTAAGTGCTGGGCATACAGTTGTGAGTAAAAAGAAACTCTTTGATTTTGTAAGCTATTATTCTAATTCTTTTTTGATTTTAATAGTCACCAATCTTTAGTTATGCTCATTATATCTTTTCATTTGCAGATGATCCATATTTCTCTCAAATTGAAATTCAAAGTATGCAGGACAGAATCCCCTCTTTGATCACACTGAGAATATTTTTGTAGTTAATGCCGCATGGCCTTGGGGATCTACCACTAAATTACTATGTGACTTTAAGCAAGTTGCTTGCTCTCACTAAGCCTCAGCCTTTTCATCTATAAAATGAGGCTTAGACTACCTACCTTATAGGTTGTTATGAGAATTTGATAGTTCATAGATGCAAGATGCTGGCCCTGTAGGTAGTCAACAAATATTAATTCCCATTTTCATCTCTAAAAAATGATATAGACTAATATTATACTAAAGGCTCTAAGATTATCCTTAATAAGAGGCTACCCACCCTTCTTCAATGATGAAGTATCGGAGTTTATCATTACTGTCACGTGAGGGGGTTGCATAGCATTTGTTCAGTGTCAGGATCAAATGTGTGGCATCGGCTCCGACCACAAAAACCCCTACATACAGTACATCTCGAGTAGTCAATACCACTTCACCCTGGCGGTAAGGATGTTTGTAGGAGGCATTTTTGTAGAGTGCCATCTTTGTGGTAAAGCTGCCTTCTTGGGTTGGAACCGTCAGGTTAATGACACTAAAAGGGAAAAAATCATGATGTGGAGAACACTAAACAATTATTTAAGCTGAAATACCATTTTTTAAGCTGAAAATACAGAGTGAAGGCAAAGCAAATAGTAGTAAAGTCTAAGGCTGCACTGTCCAATTTTAATAGACACATGTGGCAATTAAAATTAAATAATTAAATTAAATTAATAATTCAACTCCTCAGCACCCCCAGCCACATTTTAAGTGCTCAATGGCTATATATATAGCTATAATATTGGATAATACAGATATAGAACATTTCCATCATTGCAGAAAGTTTTATTGAACAGTGCTAGTCTAAGGCATTTAAGTGCAAAAAAATATGATTTTTCCCCTAGTGCTTCAAAGATAAAAGCTAGCAATTTTGATTATGCTAACCTTAACTGTCAAAGAAGAGACAAAGTCCTGCACATAGCCCATGAGATTCTTTACCTTAGCATAGGCTTCACGACAGAGTCTAAGGAGATCTTGATATCCAGCTCATAAGCACACGAAAATTCCACATTGATTGTCCGGTCCCTAGTGATGATGTTGCCAGTGTTGTTGGCACTTTCGATCCAAATTGTGTTTTTATACATGATATGTGTGCCATTGGACTGCAGAGCAAAGGGAGGTCAGAAATCATTAAATCTAGGAGTATGTGGCTTGCATTTAGAACCCACGCCCTGAAAGTGGAGAAATTGCTTTATTCTGTATTTAACCCACAGGCTAATATAAATCAGTATGGAGCTAGCCTTAGTATTTATTTAAAAAAATAGAAAAAAAAATATTACAACAGATGTCCACAGCACCCTTTAGTCTGATAACCTTAGATGCCTATACAGGGCATTTTAATGAATTCTAACTACAACCAACCCCCCAGTTATCCGTGGGAACCTATGCATGGGACAGCATAAAGAATTGCCATCATGAGCTAATATAAGTCTTCTTTTTTAACTCTTAATTCAAAATCTCTCCTCTACCAAATCTTTTACTAGACATGCCCACAAATATCAAAATTAACAAATGCAAGTTTCATCTTCTTACTCCTTTTTCTCCCTGATAAAAGTGTTAATGAATAAAAACAGTTATCAAAAAAAAAAAAAAAGAGTGCAAAGGATCAGGAAGAAGAGAAGCAAGAGGCTTTGCTAACCTATAAATTGGGACACTGTTGTCCCCCCATATAGCTGAACCCAGCTGTATTTATGTGGAAGAACAACAGAAACATGAAACATGAGAGGTAACAGAAATTTGTCAATGTATGGGGCAAAGGATGACAACAGACAGTGCAAACCAAGGAAAGAAGCACCTTACCTATCACGCTCTTTCAGTTCAATCAACCACTTAGCACCAAATGACCATTCTCCTTTGTGTCTTTCATTTCATATATGCCTTTTGCTGTTTTGCAAGGATATTTCTAAATGGCTTACTCTGAAGTTGGCTTTAAGGACAAGCAATGTGCAAACACTTGTAAAGTCACTATCTCTGCTAGGTGTCCTTTCTGGCCCACAGTTTCTCACCTGAACAATGTTTCCACAATTCCCTTTGGTGTTGTTGATCTGAAAGGAGATAAAATCTTCCCCTTCAATGCCAGTGCACTGTCTGTCATTGATTCTTACACCCTCTCTCTCAAAACCAAGCTGGAAGAGTTTGCACTTAGATATGGACACTTCCATCTGGGATGCCTTGCAGGTCACCTCTGCATCAATAATGTCATGTGAGTCTGTAGGAAAGTTATTACAAAAGGCAAGTCAGTCTCGATGCAGAAGTCAAGGAAAGGCATCCATTAGTTTCCTTTAGAAAAGGCTAATGATTTTTGCGCAAAGGCTGTGGCATTTCTAACTAAGCTTTGATCAAACCAAATGAGTACATGAATTCATTCAAAGCAATAACTGGGATATTACATCTATTTTTCTAATAGATGAAAATAATAATAAAGTGTCTTTTGTCTTTTTTTTATAAACCAGGACTCCCTCCCCCCACCCTCCACACTTTAGTGGTAGCTGCTTTTCCTGAGCTACATACCACACCTGGCTCACTGTGTCTTGGCTAAAGAATATGCCCCAAGCAAGAGCAGCACTAGCCACGCTACCTCAAATCCTCAGCTGATTCCCAGGTGAGCACTAGTAGCTCTTGTTTTCTGAAATGGTGATGCACTAATTGACATTTTCTGTGAGTACATAAACAAAGGCTAATGAGCACTATAGAAACAAAGAAAAACACTTTTATCTGCTTAAACAGCACATATTGTCCCCTCCTATGGAGTCTTTTAGTCAATTAGGCTTCCATTCCACTCTCTAATGATGTTAAATTTAGCACATGCCTTCTGAGTTACTTGGTTCAGGCAAGAGCATGGAACCAAGAGGTAAAATTCTCCTTCAAGTGACATCACGGGTATGTACTCCTATTATAAGCAGGCAGTGTTAGGAACAGAACCTGGAGTCCTAGTTGGTTATTGTTTGCTTCAAACATTTCAGCTGTTTCTTCAGGACCCACCAAAAAGTGAGGCCAGATAAAGCTGGTTTTAAAGGAGTCTTAAAGTATTCCCATCCTGATTCTTTCATGTTTTCGTCAAACCACCTTCCTTCTCTATAAGTCTAAAAGATCAGTTTGGATCTCTCTGATGTTGAATGTGGCCTCAGGTGGAAATTGCTGATTCCATTCATGTACAAATTTGTGTTATAATTTACTGCAGGAAAAGACGTAGCAATGAGAAAATGAACATTAGCCTACTATAAAGTGTTTAGATTGCTTCTTTGTTCTGTTTAAATGCTCATTAAACCTTTGCTATTTGGGTTTCTAACTTACATCACAGGGTGTGTGGGCTCCAATCTTGGAGCTTTTCTACGTGGTTACCAGGCCTGTCCCATTGGGCCTGTCTGCAGTAGGGGGTAGCAAATGTCACTCACTGTTTCCATAGGGGGGAGGCTCGATGCAGCCACACAACTCTCCTCCATTGTCCATCTCACAGGTTCGGTTGGGACAGTCTGCCCCCACACAGGGATCTTCGACCACTCCTGCTAAAAAGGAAAACAAACAGAAACATGCACAACTTCATTTTCACACCAACACACAGTAGCATGTGGTGGCACTCTGGATTTGCCACTTTGTTGGATTTGGTGATAGTCAGATGGCAGCCACAAATTAACAGACAGGGCAACCTCCCAGGAAATAATTACAACAGCTAAGTATTGGGCTCTTCCTATGGGCTTGACACTGCTTCATGCTTTAGTTGCATTATTTCCTCCAACCCTCACAAATGCTCTGTGAGCTAAATATTTTAACTCCCATTTTACAGCTAAAACTTGCCCAAGGTCACACACAGGTGAAGATGGAAGGCACAGATACTCTTAACTGCCAAGATATACCACAATTACTGCATTTAATACATTGCACTACAATCAGGTGCATTTGTATCTTTATAAAGAGTAAGGTCCAAATTATTTGTCTCTATATTCCCCAGTATCTTATAATAGGTGCTCAACAAATATTTGTCAAGAAAGAAAATTTTAGAGCTAGTAAAGTCCCAGAAAGTTCCCTTAAACCAGGACTTCCTAGTCTTTTTGATTCATGGTCTATCTTCCTCATAAAGTTCTAATTAATTTTATAAAAATAAACCAAAAACCTACACACAACTCACAAGCATTGACTTAGATTAATGGTACTGTTTTGCCAAGAAGGGAAAAACTGTAAGTAAAATATAAATGTATGTGAGGTAGAATCATCATATTATGAGCAATATTTTTGGAGCAGATGACCGCCTGCAAAATCTTTAACATCTCAGTTTGAGAAACACTAATTGAGAGCATTTTCTCAGTTTGAGAACCACTAATTGAGAGCATTTTCTTTAAGATACTCACTTCTTTAAAGAATCTCTCTCCCTGTCAAGATATAATAATACTCCTGTTCATCATGGTATATGATAGTGAGAGCTAAAGAAACAACTGTTCAATTCCAGCATGAGGCAAGTTAACTTCAAGAGTTTAAAAATGAAACAAAAAAATACAGGAGCTGTAGCACAGCTCCAGATGCCACACCCTCTGCTAAGTTACTAATTGTAATAGGTGGGAGTACAGGGATGGTTTAACATCACCCTGTCTTAATTCCTAGAAGGAAGACTGAATGAAAACTATCAGCATCATTTAAATACACTTATTTTTAAGGTTTTCTTATAAAGACTCTTTCACTTGCCCAGTATTTTCAGTACTTGAAGCAATGCTAAGCACTAGCAGCCCTTTGGTGAATGTTATGGTTGATTAACACAATATGAAAACAAACTAAGAGCATAATAGAAAAGGTATGGAGGCCACAGCCCACAGGAAGAAAAAACCTCATTTACAAATATGGTGGTTTTTCTGCCAATTGGTAAATAAGATACGCCCTTATACAGAGAGAGATTTTGAGATTAAAAAAACTAATATTTTTTAAAAAAATTCAAAACAATTTTTGAAGTTCAAAACAGTTAATTTTAAAGTTATTTAAAGTATTGCTCATTAATACAACAGAGTAAAATGTTAAAGTTATCAAAGCTAAGCATATCTATTGATTTCCAACAGACTAGTAATTCGCCTATTAAGAATTAAGAATTTCTCAAGTCACTGAATGCATATTCTAATTAACTATATTGTTTTTAGGTTCTGAATTACTATACTTGGTCAGGTTTGGTCTGCAAATTTTTTAGGTTCTGAATTACTATACTTGGTCAGGTTTGGTCTGCAAATTTCCCGATATGCATGCACAGTCTTGGTGGGCCAGTTCATGGTGGGACCTGTATGCACACAGGTTAGTGGTATGTGTCAAGGTACATGAACACATTCTGTTGGACACAGTATCATACTACATTAATGGGACGAAGTAACCATTTATGTTATGCACACACACATATTTGCTCCACTATTTGATAAACATAGTGAGAGAATGAACAAACAGAATAATAGATATAACATCAGAGTACAGAAAAAATATATACAAAAAATATATAAAAATCTATAGACCTTCATTTTATCACAATTTAATATATAATCCCTTTACAAATCCAACTACAGCTTCCTTTCAACAAAGAAGATATTTCCAGATCAATGCCAACTTGTTGCATGCCTTCTTTCTGATTTGGGCTCCAACTCATCTTAAAAGAAATGAGTTTGGGAACTAAAGTCAATCAGAAGTCCCATATTTTGTTCTTCTACCTCATAAGTCACTAAACTGGTACTCATCCAACCCAAAAAATCTTGTTTTCCTAAGTTGGTGTTCCAAATTCCATAACTGAACAGGAACTACAGGTGAGTGAGTTTCCACTGAAAATGCTCCTCATCAAATCTCTGCTACAGTTCACAACTCCCAACTCTCCAGCTCTGGAAGTAGATTTATGGGAAAGATAGAGACCAGCCAGCCAAACTAGTCAAAGCAATGCAATCAGCAAAGTTATTCCTTTAACTTAGAAAAGGATCTGTAGAAATAAAATAATTCTCTTACAGCAATTCTCCTTCTCAATCCATTCAGTGCTGAGGATTCCAAATGAGCGACAGGACTCTCCATAGGCAGATAGGGAGCCGCACAGCTGGAACTTCTTGTGGTTGTAGCAGCCATCTAGGTAGCAGGACTCGTAGAAGGGAAGGGGGTCAAGTAGCCCATAACAGGGCTGGAAGAAGCCCTTCATGTCCGTGAGCTTCAGGCAGTAGCCATCACCCTGCATCTTCTGGATGTGCACGTTATCACACGTGGCTGCATACTGTGAGAACTGCAGCTCATTGCAGCTGGGAACAAGAGGTTTGGTCAGGCTAAGTGAAGCAAAAGCAACCATCTGAGATCTCCAATGGAAGTGAAGACCATGTCTGTTATCTCTTTTGCTAACCCAGGGTTAGTGCAATATGCCGATTCCAACACTAACTGGCTAAGTGACTTTAGGAAATTTAGGTCATTTCTATTGTTAATACCACCGGGATAAATGAGGGTAAAATAATGGATTAGTAGCCAAGTGTTAGACAAAGGTAGATATTGACATTATAACCATTAACCTTTCATATAATGGATGGATATGTAGTTGATACAATAACCTGTTAGTAACCAAGTTATTACATATATCATATATCATATGATACATATATGATTACATTTATCAATTATTATTATATTATAAACAATAATGATAGTTACTATAATAATAATAATGACAGTTCATAGAATTAAAGCTTTGGAAGGCAGTCCAAAGCTTCTAAACTAGTTCTAGTTTAGCTATCAGAGACCAAAAGCAAAACCCTCACAAGAAAATTGATGCCAGGTTAAAATTGTTTATAGAGGAAGAAAGAAAGGAAGAAAGGAAAGAAAGCTCAAAAAGAATCATAATTCCTCAGGAGGAACTGAATCTTGCTCATTTTGGAAGCCCTAGAATAGCTTAGATGTCCAGAGTTGTTGTTTTTCTAACTTTGGGCCCAATAAATGGCATTTTAGAGAAAGCATCAGATTAGGAATTCTAAAATCTAATCCTGGTTCTTACAGGGCCTCCTCATGTAAATCTTTCTATTCTAGCCCCCATTTCACCCAGAAAAGGAAGACATTGGATTAGATATTGCCCAATGTTCTTTCTAGCTTTGGGTCCCTTAATTCTAACTTATGGTACATTATTCTGTTTACATCTGCAGAAGGGTCAAAGGGATTTTGAAGTTTCATTTCCACAACTGGGTATTTAGTTGATGTTTGGAATGTTAAAGCACAGGAATGAGAAGCATAACTATAGATCCAAAAGGTATAATTATAATTCAATAGCCCAGAGGGGCTCTAAATTAAATACCTTTGGAATAACTTGTATAGCTCATTCTATCTTAGTTGGCCAGAGAGGGCCTTGATAATAACCTTAGTAACTTCTGTATTTTAAAAGGCTTTCTTGACTCCCACAAATTCTACCTTCACAACCGCAACCAAGACTTCTGGTAAGAATCACAGACACACAATTAGACCCAGCACGGGGGTCTGAGTCAACTCTGAATCCCGCCCCAGCAGGGGTGCCCAGGTCCCACTTGGGCAGCTGGCCAAAGCTTCAGAGTTCTAAGCCTGGGCAGACTCTGTTGTTTAGCTACGGGATAGATGGCATGGAAATGTAGAGTCATACCATCAAGCTCAGATTCTTCCTCTGCCAGTCAAGAAATTACTGAAGCCTATGATGTGCCTCTTTGTATAATGAAAACTCCTTAGACCTTTGGCTCAGTTCTCTGTAGGAGAGGGAAATGATGCTATGAAAAAAGCATTCCTTATGAACACCTCTTGTGGATGTAGGAGGATTTGGGCAACTGAATCTAGTGGCTAGAATTCTCACCTTTTCTGCATGCCGTTGGTTTTCCAGCTCTGGGCCAGCACCACACTACTCACCACTGGCTTTCCTCTCAAGGTCACATAATCATCAGTTAAGTCCCCATTGAAGTTGCCACAGAGGCCACAAACTTTGTTCTGAAGCCTGTCACTGATGCTGATTTTTATGACGTTGAAACCATTGTAGTATATCTGGATGTCGGGGCTGGTGTCAATGACCAAGAACCCCTCACTGCTGTAGATTTTGGTTGCCAACCCAGTTATAAATGGAACATTCACTTGTGTGCCATTCACCTATTGAAGGAAAAAAAAAAAGTAAATGACCCTTAGAGTAGAAGTTAGCAACACTCACTGTAAAGGGCCATAGTAAATATTTTGTGATCTCTGTTGCTATTCAATTCTGCCCTCATGGCAGGAAAACAGCCCATAAACAATATGTCACTAAATGAGTGAAGCTGTATTCCAGTAAAGCTTTGTTTACAAAAACAGGCAGCAAGTAGATATGTCTGAATCCTATAGTTTGCTGACCCCTACCCTAAAGTTCAAGGATACTCATTCATCTTACTGTTCACAGTTCTCCCCAAAAAACAAAATATGGAGGCAGAGAGATTAAAAAAAAAAAACTAGAAAACTATAACCCACAACAAATGGCTGGATTTTTGTATAAAACTTTCTCTAACATAAACCAGTTAACATGGTTAAAATGAATCTGAGGACTACTGCTATACTTACTGTTTTCTGGCTTATAAGGTTCAAACAGGAAGTCCACCCTAGAGGTCCTATAGGCATGGCATTTTCTGCATTCATCATTTTCCTGCTTTATAATAGTTTCTTTTCTTAGCCCTTATGACAGAACATAACATGCTTTTCTTATTCTTACAAAAAAAAAAAATTCTCCTTCAAGTAGTTAGTAAATTTTATTTCCTAAAAAGTCGGAAGCCTTTTTAAAAATATGATTCTTTATTATGTTGATAGCTTAGTGTGTTTTATTCAAAAACAATACCAGTTTTGGTGTCGTAGGTGGTCATTTTCACTTTCTAGTTCCTGGATTCTAGATCAACACAGTTGTGTCTATATGAACCAATTTGCAAAAGGAATTGGGGTATCAAAAGCAGTAGAAGTTTTTACTGAAGTTAAAAACCAGTATTAAAACTCAAACCCTTTCCTGTAAAATACTGCCAGTCTTTTGCCTAACTCTAGATTTAGGCAAACAGTCAGCTATTTGATGACTGTTCAAATAAAGATACAGTCAATTATCTGAGCCAACGGTGGAAAGCAGATATACATAATAACACTCAGTTCCAAAAAAATGTTAATTTGTATGTCTTGCCTCTCTTCCTGTCCCTCCATAGCTGTAATCACAGCATTAGGGTCTGACTCCATTATTCAGGTCTATCTACTGTGAGCAGCCTGGTTTAGCTGGAAGGCTAGGAGTTACTGTCAATAGTTCATCAGAGCAGACTACCTTCTTAAATGAAAGAGGTGGGAGGAATCCAAGTCACAGAGGCATATTAATTATGGGAGTAGGTTAGAGATTCATATTTATTTATAAACAGGTCTAAGATTCACAAGAAACCAAGCAGCTGGCCTAAGGAAAAGCCAACCTTAAGAAAAATACACCAAATTCAGCTTCAGTTTTCTTTCTTTTTTATTTTTTTATGTTATCATGAGGTCTTCTAATAGTAGGGGATGCTCCACCAGGTTTTCATTTAGGTAGGTGTTTTTTAATTAATTATTATTATTTTTTTTAATTTTTGGAAATGCTTGCCTTCCCTCAGCTTCTAGGAAGGATTGCAGAGATGAATGAGCAGGTCTTTGTATAGGTGAGCAAAGCCAAGAATAATGTTAAAGTCTCTTCAAAACTAATGAGATGCTTTTTGTAAATTAATCTAGAATAAAAACTGATTTACTGATCATTTTGTTACCTAAAGTTCTATTAGCACCATGCCATCATCATGGCCCTGAGACACTGTACCTTTCCTGCAAGTTGGAATTGTCAATGAAGGACTAAATGGGAACCAACCTTACCCTTGTGAAATCTTTATATTTCATTTTTAAAATCTGGTCATCTGTGTATGGTATGTATGAAGCAACAACCTATTATCCTTAAACTTGGTTATCTGGAAAAACCACAACAAAACAGTCCCCTAGCCATGCCTTGTTCCAGGGAACATTTCTTAAGAATCAGCAATGGGCTTGTCACCTTGACAGTGTTCCGGTCGTTGATGAGAATCTGCTCTTCATTAATATAGAAATAGACAGGAGAAATGATGGTGAGATTGGGGGATGACCACTTGTCGAAGTTAATGATGAGCTGGAAGGAGATGTCAGGCAGTTTCTGGCAGATGGTAGAGAGCACAAAGGCGCAGTTGGCAGGGAAGCGGAGGAAGGCGCCATCAAAGGTACGAAACACACCGCCACCAGCCGCCAGGCAGTAGGATGTCTTAGTGCTGAAGCAGCCGCGCACCCCATTGCGCAGGGCGCACTCCTCATCCGACTTGCACTGGCGCGGGTCACACTGGATAAGGTTGCGCCGGAAACAGCGACATCGCCGTGTGCAGTCGCTGTTCCAGAACAACTGCTTAGGCTGGAAGATAGATGCCATTTACATTAAACTTAGACTATTGGCAGGGATGGGGACCACAAAGCTCAGGCCTTCAGGACCCTTACCGCACGCTGGGCTAGCCTTTCATTAATGGGGCTGGAATTTGCAACAGAGAGCACTAGGGAGGCTGCTTTAATTCAAATGTTATATCAGTTTCATGTAACTCAGATGCCAAACAATATACAACTTAGTCTTTATATTTTCAATCAGGAATTGGGGATCTTTACAGCTGGATTATAGAGCCAATTACAGCTAACCTGAATGTGCAGCTGTTAAAGGAACTAGGTGAAGAGAAAAAATATTTGATAGAAAGTTGTTCTAATAAGTACTAGTTCCATTTCAAGGATGAAATTTTGATTCACTCAAGAATAATAAACCTGGTCATTTAAATCTTAAATAGGTTAAAGAAAGTGATAACCAACCCTTATGACGAACCATTTCAACATTTCACAATACTCAACACTCCAAAATTTTTCCTCCTATTTAGGCTACTACTAATTTATTTCTATTGCAAGTACCTCTATTTCTATGTATTCTAAGTGAGAGATCTAGAGAACAGTGAGGTTTTATGAAAGGAAAGTTTTGGGATCAGGCCACCTGGATTTCAATCACAGCTGTGGCAGCCTATATGTGCCACCTTGAGGAGCACTACTGTCAGTTTGCTATCTCTAAATTGGAGATTACAATGTCTTGCAGGGCAATTCCTGCCTTCTAGTCAAGGTGGTAGAGTAGGTAAACCCTGTGCTTGCCTATTCCCATGACCACATCAAAATTACAATGAAATTATAGAACAACCACCTATGAGAACCACCTGAAGACTAGCTAAATAGAGGTTCTATAACTAAAGATATACAGTAGAAGCCGCATTAAGACTGGTAGGAAGGGCAAGATGTGAAACAGGCTGGTCACAAATTCACATGTGGTAGTCAAAAATCAAGAGGGGTATCGTGGCTACAGTGGTACCCACTGAGATGCAAAGGGTCCAAGCCCCACACTGTACTCCCCAATCCTAAGCACCAGAGCCAAGAAGAGGAGTCCCCACAATATCTGGCTATGAAAGTCAGCAGGGACTCCATTCGTGTGAGACATAGGGCTACTGGAATCCCGGGCATTCCTCTTTAAGGGCCTTAGCACAGACTCACTTGCTTATAAACATGATCCCTAAGCTCCACCCAAGGAACAGCAGCTTGAAAAGTGCCAGGGACATATTGAGAGGAACTAAATTGTCTGGCTTCAGACTGGGAGATGGAGGGGCAGCTCTCCAGGACTGAAGTGTTGGCAGGCACCATTATTCCTTTGTTGAGCTCTATCTCAATACAGCTTGCAGGTGGGCACCAAATCTGAGTCTATATTAACCTGACTAACACCACTTGCCCCATCCTGGTGATTCTTTGAGACCACCACCCCATTGACCCCAGGCGCTTCACTTGAACTTCTTTCACTGGTTATTCCACATAAGCAATAAGCCTCAGCCCATGATACAGACTTTCCTAAAATCTCTCAAAGGTACTCAAACTTAAAACAAGCAGTGGCTGGCCTTGGCATGCCCTGTACCGCTTGCTAAGAGGCCTCAAGCCTGCCAGTAGTGGCAACTGGCCACAGTGAACAGCATAGCCTCTCTCAGGCACCTGTAAGCCCTAACACAGGTAGCTACCAACCACAGGTCATTTTGTAGCTCTTGCCAGGTGACTCTGATCTCGGCAGTGGCAGACCTGGGCCTCCACCACAGCCCCTTCCAAGAGGCCCCAGAACCAACACACCCAGAGGCTGGCTTCAGACCACATCAGAGCACTCCCCAATAATTCCACAAATGACAAGCCCAAAGGGTGGATTTGGCAGGCACCAGAGCCCCATTAAAGTAAATCACACTTCGGAGAGTCGGCCTCTGCAAAACAGCTTGTCCACTAGAGTTAGGGCTAGTCTTCATAGCCAGTCAGCTGGAGGGTAAATCCCACCCACTGGCATACAAAAAGCAATCAAAGCTCAATTACAACAGGAGGACACATACAAGGGACACCCAAGAGCAACTGGCTCAGATGACCAAGACGACTATGCCACTGGGTCCCATGGAACACCTACTACATTAGGACATTCTGCCAAGACTGGAAAATAAAACAGATCTGACTAATACATGGAAACAAACATAGGAAGGCAGCCAAAATGAGGAGACAAAAAACCACATCAAAGGAAACAACAGGACAAAACTCCAGAAAAAAAACTAAACAAAATGGAAACAAGCAATCCACTAGATACAGAGCTCAAAACATTGATTATAAAGATGCTCAATGAACTTTGAGGAAGAATAGATGAACTCAGTGAGAACTTACACAAAGAGATAGAAACCATAAAAAAAAACAACCAGTCAGAAATGAAAATACAATAACTGAAATAAAGACTACACTTGAAGGATTCAACAATAGATTAGATGAAGCAGAAGATCGAATCAGTGAACTGGAAGACAAGGTAGAAGAATACACCCAATCAGAACAACAAAAAGAAAAAAGAATTTTAAAAAATGAGGATAGTTTAAGAGACCTCTGGGACAACATAAAGCATAACAATATCCGCATCATAGGAGTACCCGAAAGAGAAGAAAGAGCAAGGGATAGAGAATCTATTTGAAGAAATAGTAACAGAAAACTTCCCATTCCTGGCAAAGGAATTAGACATACAAATTTAGGAAGCACAAAGAGGCTCAAACAAGAGGAATTCAAATAAACCCTCGCCAAGATACATCGTAATTAAAATCCCAAAGAGTCAAAAACAAAGAGGGAATCTTAAAAACAGCAAGAGAAAGACAGCTAGTTACTTATAAGTGTACCCCATAAGAATGTCTGATGATTTTTCAATGGAAACTTTGCAGGACAGAAGGGACTGGCAAGAAATATTCAAAGTTATGAAAAACAAGAATGTACAAACACAAATATGCTACCCAGCAAGGATTTTGATTAAAATGGAAGGTGAGATAAAGAGCTTCCCAGACAGGAAAAACTTAAGGAATTCATCACCAACAAGCCAGTATCACAAGAAATGTTAAAGGGACTTCTGTAAAAAGAGAAAGGGTAAAAAAGAAAATAGAAATAACAAACATAAATAATAAAATGGCAGTAACTATGTACCTATCAGTAATCGCTTTAAGTGTAAACAGATTAAATGCTCCAATCAAAAGAAATGGGGTAGGCAAATGGATAAGGAAACAAGACCCATGCATATGCTGTCTACAAGAGACCTACTTCAGAACAAATGACAAAGACTGAAAGTAGAGAGATGGAATAAGATATTTCACATAAATGGAAATGAGAAAAAAGCCAGAATAGTGATACATATATCAGATAAATAGACTTTAAAACAAAGGCTATAATAAAAGACAATGAAGGGCATTACATATGATAAAGGGCAGAATAAATCAAGAAAACATAACTCTAGTAAACATATACGCAATCAACATAGGAGCACCTACATACACAAATCGTCTGACACAAAAGAAGAGATCAACAATAATACACTCGTAGTAGGAGACATAAACACCCCATTAACCCCAATGGATAGATCTTCCCGACCAAAAAAAAAAAAAATCATCAAGGAATTAATGGGCCTAAAAGACACATCAGACCGGATGAATTTAATAGATATTTTCAGAGCATTTTACCCCAAAGCAGCAAAATATACATTCTTCTCAAATGAGCATGGAACATTTTCCAGGATAGACAACATGTTAGGACACAAAACGAGTCTCAATAAATTTAAGTATACTGATAGCATATCAACCATCTTCTCCAATCATAATGGTGTGAAACTAGAAATCAACTACAAGAAAAAAACTGGAAAATACACAAATACTTGGAGGCTAAATAACATGTTACTATACAATGAGTGGGTTAACAGTGAGATCAAGAAAAGTCAAAAGATACCTAGAGACAAATGAAAATGAAAACACAGCAACTTAAAATCTGTGGGACACAGATAAAGCAATCCTAAGAGGGAAATTCATAGCAATACAGATCTACCTCAAGAAATAAGAAAAAGCTAAAATAAACAATCTAACCTTACACTTAAAAGAACTAGAAAAAGAACAGCAAACAAAGCCCAAAGTGAATCAAAGGGAAGAAATAATAAAGATCAGAGTGGAAATAAATAAAATAGAGTCTAGAAAAACAACACAAAAGATTAATGAAACCAAGAGCTGATTCTTTGAAAGAATAAACAAAATTCACAAACTCATAACCAGACTCATCAAGGAAAAAAGAAAGAGGACTCAAATAAATAAAATCAGAAATGAAAGAGGAGAAATAACTATGAACTCCACAGAAATACAAAGGATCATAAGAAAGTACTACAAGCAATTGCACAACAACAAATTAGACAATCTGGAAGAAATGAATACATTCCTAGAAACATACACTCTCCCAAGACAGAGTAAAGAAGAAGCAGAAAATCTGAACTGACGGATTACCGCCAATGAAGTCGAATCGTAATCAAAAAGCTCCCAAAAAACCAAAGTCCAGACCAGATGGCTTCATAGGAGAATTTTACCAAACATACAAAGAAGAAATAACACCTATTCTTCTCAAACCATTCCAAAAATTTCAAGAAGAGGGAAGGCTCCCTGACTCCTTTTATGAGGCCACCATTACCTTGATTCCAAAACCAGACAAAGACATTACAAAAAAGGAAAACTATAGGCCGATATCTCTTATGAACATTGATGTAAAAATCCTCAACAAAATATTAGCAAAGCAAATTCAGCAATACTTTAAAAATATCATATACCATGATGAAGTTGGATTTATTCCTGGGATGCAAGGTTGGTACAATAACTGCAAATCAATTAATGTGATACATCACATTAACAAATTGAAAGATAAAAAAAACATGATCATATCAATAGATGCAGAAAGAGCATCCATTTATGATAAAAACTCTCAGCAAAGTGGGAATAGAAGGAACATACCTCAACATAATAAAAGCTATATATGAAAAACCTATAGCTAACATCATACTCAATGGTGAAAGGCTGAAAGAGTTTTCCTTAAAATCAGGAACAAGACAAGGATGCCTTCTTTTACCACTCCTCTTCAATATTGTATTAGAAGTCTTAACCACAGCAATAAGACAAGAAAGAGAAATAAATGGTATCCAAATTCGAAAGGAAAAAGTAAAACTCTTGTTATTTGCTGATGATATAATACTATATAGAGAGATCCCTAAAGATTCCACCAAAAAACTGTTAGAACTAATCAATGAATTGAGTAAAGCAGCAGAATACAAAATTAATATTCAGAAGTCAGCATTATTTATACACCAAGGATGAACTTTTGGAAAGAGAAATTAAGAAAACAATCCCATTTACAACCATATCGAAAACAATAAAATACCTAGGAATCAAATTAACTAAGGAGGTAAAAGATCTGTTCTCAGAAAATTATAAGTCATCGAAAAAAGAAATTGAAGAAAATACAAATAAATGGAAGCACATACCATGCTCACGGGTAGGAAGAATCAACATCATTAAAATATCCATACTAACCATAGCAACTTATAGATTCAGTGAAGTCCCTAGCAAAATACCAATGGCATTTTTTAGAGAGCTAGAATAAATAATCCTAAAATTTATATGGAACCATAAAAGATCCTGAATGGCCATGGTAAACTTGAGAAAGAACAAAGTTGGATGTATCACTCTACCTGACATCAAACTATACTAGAAGTCTATAGTAATAAAAACAGCATGGTGTTGGTATAAAAGCAGATACATTGTTCAATAGAACAGAATAGAAAGTCCAGAAATAAATCCATGCCTATATGCTCACTTAATATATAACAAAGGAGGCAAGAATATACAGTGGTCTAATGATAATCTCTTCAATAAATGGTGTTGTATAAATTGGACAGATACATGGAAAAGAAAGGAAAGGAAAGGGAAGGGAAGGGAAGGGAAGGGAAGGAAAAGGAAGGGAAGCGGAGGGAGAGAGAGAGAGAGAGAGAGAAGGAAGGAAGGAAGGAAGGAAGGGAGGAAGGAAGGAAGGGAGGGAAGGAGGGAGGGAAGGAGGGAGGGAAGGAGGGAGGGAAGGAGGGAGGGAAGGAGGGAGGGAAGGAGGGAGGGAAGGAGGGAGGGAAGGAGGGAGGGAAGGAGGGAGGGAAGGAGGGAGGGAAGGAGGGAGGGAAGGAGGGAGGGAAGGAAGGGCAGAAGGCCTGAACAGATATTTCTCCAAGGAGGAAATACAGATGGCCAATAGACATATGAAAAGATGCTCAAGATCACTAATCATCAGAGAAATGCAAATTAAAACTACAATGAGATATATCACCTCACACCTGTCAGAATGGCTATCATCAATAAATCAAAGAACAAGTGTTAATGAGGATGTGGAGAAAAAGGAACCCTCATTTACTGTTAGTAGGATTGCAAATTGGTACGGCCACTGTGAAAAATAGTTTGGAGTTTTCTCAAAAAATTAAAAATGGATATACCTTTTGACCCAGCAATTGCACTTCTGGTTATTTATCCAAGGAAAACCAAAACAATAATTTGTAAAGATCTGTGCACCCCTGTGTTCATGCAGCACTATTTACAATAGCCAAGATCTGGAAGCAACCTAAATGCCCATCAACAGACAATTGGATATAGTATAGTTCATATATACAATGGAATATTACTAAACCATTAAAGAAAAAATGAAATCCTATCATTTTCAAAGACATAGATGGATCTAGAGGTCACACTCATCTAGATGGATCTTTAAAGTGGATGTTTTTTTCCTCTCCAGAATAGATTTTTGTTGAGGATTTTTACATCAATGTTCATAAGAGATATCAGCCTATAGTTTTCCTTTTTGATTACTGATTTGATTTTGATTACTGATTAGAACAAAAAAAAACAAACTAATTGAAAACAGACTCACAAATATAGAGGACAATTTGGTGATGGCCAGAGGAGAGGGGGGTTAGGAGGTTGGGAGAAAGTGGTGAAGGATTAAAGAAGTACAAATTAGTAGCTGATGGATGGTCATGGGGATGGGGAACATGGCATAGTGCATTCAGTCAGCAGCAATGTAATGGAAAGCCAGTGGAAAGCCAGAGGAGAGAAAGAGTAATCAGGGGCATCGTTTCAGAAACTATATAAATCTATACTTGAAACTAGTAATAAAATAAAATATTTTAAAAACTTTTATGATATTTTAAAATAAAATATTTTAAAATATTTTAAAAACTTCTCTCAAAAAGTATTCTTTGATTAGCTCTACTATTTAACTATGTTTTCTGTCCTTCTAATATAACCTTTAAGCAAATTTCTCACTGAAAATGAAATTGAGAGTAACTTCAACATTTATTTTCTTTTATTTATTCTCAAAGTAAATTCAACTTAGCTGTTCTTAAACAAGTAAATACATTTTTACAAAAAGGAGACATTATTTATTTTTTTGCCTAGCTTATTTCCAATTCAGACATTTCAATTAGAGTTTTTAATGCTGCTATTCTTTTTCATTTAAAAATGTTTAGTTCTGAAAAGAATTATCTTTCACTTGTTGATATGTTACTTTGTTCTCTTGTTCTTTAAAGTGGATGTTTTTTCCTCTCCAGAATAGATTTTTAAGTTCCTTAAGGCAGGGAACATGCTTTATCATCCCTTAACATTACCACTAGCACAGTGATCTGTAAATAGCAGATATTCAATATTTGCTGTTGTTAATTGTCTGCTCACCAATATATGGTACTAATGTCATTTAAACAGAGAATGGGCTTGAGGCAGAACCATAGGCTAAATATCTCCTACAGGCAAGACCTTTCTAGCTCAGTATTATGGCACAGAAAGAATTAACGAAGTACAAAAAATAAACTATTTAGTGAGCTAATATGTTTTATCGTATGACATCTACAAAAGACTTCTTTATTAGCTCTATGTTTAAACTCCTATATAGAGAGGAGCAAAAGGTAAAATTATTTAGGAGCAAAGTATTAAGGAGCTCAGATAAAAATCTCTGGCGACAGTATCAGAGTGACAAATGACACATGCTTTCACTTGCTCCCACAGAGAACTTCAATAGCCACAAGAGGGAAAGCCACTCGTCTCATCCTCAAGCCCCATATTTTTCAGTTAAAAAAATGTCCGTAGCTAAAACAGCTATAAATATTGGATTCAAAGCTACTATATTTCCAAATAGCAATATCAGAAACTTTCAAGCTAAGATTAATAGGAGAGGAATTCAGGAAGGCCTAGAGAAATGTATGATGAAAAGAGAAACACAAATGCTAGCCAGGAGAGGAGGCAGAGTTGCAGAGACAATGCTGATGCCAAGGAGGGAGGAGAGTGAGGCCCAAATGCATTTCCAAATCCAATACTTAGTTAGCAAGAGCCTCATGGATCTGTTCTTAAGCTTTCTGCCCTCCCACCTTCTTGTGAATAAACACTACAATCTTCATAATGAAGTGAGAAGATTGATAAACTGTGACCAATCTCTTGGAGTTGAAGAGAAATCTGATGATTGGCAGGGAGAAACAGACAGAGTTGACATCCCCTACCTCGTAATATTTGCCATCTGAGTAGCAGCCACAACTGTGGGGCAGGATGCAACTCTTTCCATTGAGAACGTAGCCTGTGTCGCACTGACAGCCCTCCACACAGTAGTGGTTGCAGTCACTCTTCAGGCGAATGGCAGCACAGCGGGGCTGGCAGACACTCACACAACTCTCATAATGGCTGTTGGGAGGGCAGGTGACAGCTGGAACAGAAGACACAAGTCCAGACTCTACAGTCACAAGCAATCTTTTCCTGAGCCATTGTTCACTCACTTAGGGAGATGGAGGTTGTGTGTTGGGGGAGGGGGTGGAGTGAGCTTTACCACCTTTCCTGATCACTGCCCTCTCTGTTTATGGAAAGTCTCTGACTTATCATTGCTTCAATAATGGACCGAAAAGCAGATGAAGGAAACTGGAGGGTCCTCACATAATCTTTGTCCTTACTTTTTTGAGGTCCTATAACCTGCTACTTAAACCCATCTCCCAATATGCATCTCAATTTCAGTTAAGCACCCCCCCTTAATGGCTGCCCAGGGCACCCCACATTCATCCCTGCCTTTAGGTCTTCACTCATATACATATAGATTTTATTTTTCAGTTACAGTTGGCATTCAATATTATTTTATATTAGTTTCAGATGTATATCATAGTGATTAGACATTTGTTTAATTTATAAAGTGATCCCCCACAAAGTCTAGTACTCACCTAGCACCATATATAGTTATTACAATATTATTGACTATATTCCCTATACTCTACATTCCCATGACTAATTCGTAACTGCCAATTTGTACTTCTTAATCCCTTCCCCAGCCCACAAATGTCTTCACTCGTATTGATCTTCCTTATGTATGCCCTTCTTCATAATCTCAGTTTATCTTAAGTCTTCATTCTTCAAGTCCCAGGTAGATTCCTGTCTTATTAATAAAACTCCCCACTTTTATACAATATTAACTCACCTTCATCTAAGAACATCCACAGAACCTTTTTCTAAGTCAGTAGTTTATAAACAGTAGTCCTCTGAGCTACTTGATTTCTGAGAAGGCAAATATGCACTGTGTGTGTGTTGTATGTGTATATTGTGTGTGAAAGTTGTATAGGTGTGTAGACTGACCCATGTTGACTATGTTCTATAGGTTTCAAATGCATGCAGATGCTTTTATGAAAGACAGTTAGGGTCCTGGTGGAGAGCATGGGCTCTGGAGCCAGATATAAGAGACCAAAGCCAGTTTCTTAGCCTCACAGCACCATTTCATGACCTGTTGGGAAGGATTAAGTGAGTCTATGTGCTTAGAACAGTGCTTAGCACATAAGTGTTTAGTAAGAATTAGTCAATCATTAAAGACAGGTTTGCTTAAATGTTTTATAGAAACTTATTTTAATAGATGTATATAAAAAGTGCAACTATTATTATGTGGTAATATAATAATACATTTATCATGCATAGAGTGTGCTGTGCTTTCAATTACCCAATTTTGTCCTCTTGGTGTTTCTGTAGCATAAAAGGTTTTTTTTACTAAGAACCAGGGAAGAAAAGCAAAATGCTCCAAGGTCACACTGATCTTTAAGGACATAGCAAAACTAAAACCCAGGGGCTCTAACTCTTTTTCTAATGCTCTTAACATTAGAAAAAGTTAAAAACATGTTCTTGTTATGTGTCATAAGCTTAAAGTCTGATACATGACATATGTGAATCAAACAGAATAGCACACTTAGCGAAAGCATGTAAATTACCAGTACAGTGATGGGCCCATGAGGTTCTAGAACTAACTAACCTACTAACTCTTCTCCCATTAGTCCTTTGTTAGAATTTTATTGTGCACTTGCTGAGTCCGAATGCCATGTATGGTGCTCTGTGCTTTATATAAATGATCTATTTCATCCTCAAAGCAACACATGAAATAAGTGGTATTTCCCCATTTATAGATAAGGAAATGGAGGCTCTGGGAGGTTATACGTCTTGTTTTAGATGATGAACTCAATTCCAAAGTGCATATCCTTAAATTGCTCTGCTCAATTTGCTCTGACACCTGTGAACATGGAAGAGTAACCTGCCCACATCAATCAAGACAAAAGGTAAGATAACAGGAAGGACTCACAGCAAGATGTGTAATTCCTCCAGCCAGTCACTGCTATCCCCTGAGTCTGGCAGGTACTGGCATAGTTCTGCAGCCAGCTGCAGGCAGTCTGTACTGCACCCCCATCAATGCAAGAGTCAAACAAGCAGTTCTTATAGAAAAAGGTAGGATTGACTTTGCTGTGACACTTGGTGAAGCCAGCGTTCTGGTTGGGGATCAGGCTGCACAACTGCTGCACCTTTGAGAAACCTTCCACCTTGGCACAAGAAGGGCAGCGGTCCCCGCAGCCAACCTGACAGAAAGTATCCCTCTTCACCCAGCTCTGCCCAAACTCATTAATACTGGATGCAAGCAGACCCATGGGCATCTCCAGGTCATCGTCAGGGTTGCCGTTATAGCGGCCACACAGGCCATAGGTGCTGTTCTGCATGTTCCGTGGGACCGTGATTGACAGGAAGGTCTTCCAGTCATACACAACCTTCAGGCCAAAGTCAACTTCCACCACCACATGGAAGCCAAAGGAAAAGATATTTATCTTCCCTTGTCCCAACTTCAGGGGCAGATATAGCCGTTCATTGTTGACCTGTAAGACAAAGAGGGTTGAAGTACAGAAATTCCAGAGATCTCTTAGATCTTTTCCTAATGATTAGTCTTTAGAGAGGCAGTCTCAGAGAAAGGTTTGAGCAGATTAAATACAATCTTTGCATTTATGTCAGTCAACTGCTGTTATTAAGATTTGAACAGACTTAAATGATTATCATTTTTACACTAATATACCTATTTATTTCAAAGACTTCTATTTACATAGCATTATTTTCCCCAGGAGTCAAATTGTTTCCTCCAAGGTAATGAGAGGGTAATAAGAATTCAACTTAAGTTTAGTCTAAAATACTTAAACCCGAAAGGCCTGTGTTTCTATTTTCAGCTCTACTGAGAATTGATTTTAGGCAAGCCCCAATTTATTAATTCCTTTGGAATACATATATATGTATGTATGTGTGTGTATATGTTTATATATATGTATGTAAATATATCTTTTTTCCTGAAGAATGTCTTTATTTGCTGTTTCCTCTGCCTAGGATGCCATTCTTCACCTGTAAACATCCCTCTCAATCTCGACTCTGCTGAAACGTTGCATATTCTATTAAGCAAGATTATCTGAGCCCATTATCAGAATTAATCACTTTCTCATCTGGCAACCAAAACATGTTGTTCATACTCCTCTTGTATTCTTCTCCACTGTCAGCCAAGATCAAGCACATGTACACTACTAGTGAAGCACACATCACGATCTGCCTTATATTATGATCAGTTGTCTACATTTCTATCTCAGCTACAAGATTATGAGCAACTTGAGGGTAGAACCCACACTTCATTGATCTTTATATCCACCTTCTCCTGCTATATGCTGGGCACCCAGCACAATGCCTCACACAGAGATGGCACTTGACACATTTCCTCCCATATATTTTTTAATTCAGAAAACAAAGAAATTCCTTAATGTAAAACTCCAGAACTGCACTCCCCCTGAACTATTTTGATTCAGATGAGCCATATCCAATAACTCATGGTTGGGTGATTGTGTGATGGAAAACAGAGATGGTTTTGAGGGCTAGGAGGAGAGCTGGTCTTCCTTGTGAGAGAAGTAGATACCGTTCCTATGCAATATACTGAGATTGCTTTCTGAATACCTTCACTTTCAGAAATACCTTCACTCCTGACTTCCTAATTTCTCCCCTCTCTAACATCCCTCCCCCATTCCCACTGCACTGCTTTAGTTTAGACTCTCATCACATTTCACCTCAGCTATTGAATGCTCTTCTAACTGGTCTCCCTGCTCTGGTATTGCTCCTCTCCTCCATTCTCTTACTAATGCCACTCCAGTATTTCTTACTGCAATTGAAAGAAGTTAATCCAATACTTAAAACTTCTCCATGGCTTGAATAAAATGTTTGATATGCTAAGCACATAACACAGGTTTTCCAGGAGCTGGCCTCTGCCTCTCAGACCCAATCTACTTACTTCCACCATTCTAGCAATATCCAACACTTTGCAGTTCCTCCAAATGAACCAAATTGCATCCTTCCATCCTGCCATTTCTTTTGCTGCAAGAGTGGTAGTGCTCTCTGTGTCCCGCCTGAGGTCACCATCCTCAGCTATGTGACTATGGGCTAATAACTCACAGCTGGCCTTGGCGCCACAGGAGTCACTTGACCCAGGAGGTTATGACACCCCTCCAACTCCAATCACCCTTCCCCATCCTAAGGGTAGCCCTCATGTCAGAGGGCTATGTTTCGGAGCTCCTAGTGGCCCAAGTGAAGTTGGTCTCTAGCCTGACCACATCCTTGCTGAGCTCTCTTCTTCTGGTGCTTCCTTCACTTTCCCAAGATTACCCTTCTCAGACTCTGCCTCTAAGGAAACTGATCTAAGACACCATGATGCACTTCCCCTTGTCCCCTCTCTCTATAAGCAATATTCACCTTTCAATTTCAACTGAGCTATCTCCTCTTCCACAAATAGTTTTCTAGGCAAAATTCATTCATTCAGTAGACATCAATTTGGCACCCCTGAGTGCCAGGCACTATACTCAATGCTGTAATAAAGCACAGGGCCCTTTTCTTAGAAACACAGGGCGCTTTTCTTAGGAGCTCAGAGGCATGTGGAGAGGCAAGTACATAAACAGATGATAATATTATCTGATCAAAGGAACAATAGAGATAAATAGATGCATTAACAGTGGACTCAGCTTAGGGACAGAATCAGGGATGTCTGCAGAAGATGGTACTCATACCTGGTGCGGGTAGCATGTGTAGATGTTGGCCAGTTAAGAAGAAATGAGAGCAAAGAAAAGGGAATCCCAAGAAAAGAGCAAGAGGACAGAAAATAACTGATAAATATGAAGAATTACAACAATTTAGTACAGCTGGAACATAAAATGTAGCCTTGCAGTGGTGGGAGATAAAGATGAAGAGGCGGAGAGGGCTTGCATCATGGAAGTCCTCATATTCGTTGTCATACATGTCAGAGAGGACCATGAAATAAAGTCAGATTAACACCCATTCATTTTGAAAAAAAGGAGTCTTCAGTGATCTTAATAAGAGAACTTTAGTAGAATGATGATGTCAGAAATCAGATTTCAGAGGTTAAACAGCAAATAGGAGATATGGAAACAGACATAGCTCTCTCCAAGAGTTTGGATAGAAAGAGGAGGAGGGATTGGATAGAAGCTAGTGTAGAATTGGGGTCAAGGTTTGTTTTAGAATGAACATATTTATGGGTTAAAACACAGGAGGGAGAGGAGATGACAGATGAGCAAGATGCTTGGAAGGAAGAAGATGAAGAGGCTGCTGTAATGGGTCATTTCAGTGACAGGATGTAGGAAGGTGGAAGGAGGAGGGAGATCATCCTGGAGACCACAATTTTCTCAATGGGAGGCCCAGAGACGGAGTGACCTGGGCTGTGTGTAAAATACAGAACACAGATGTGGAAGCACACTGAAGGAAGTATAGGCCACAAGGACACCCACATGCCTTGAAGACTCAAAGTAATACATTAAAACCTTTGCACCCAAAGGCTCCCATGTGCCAGCTTGCTTCTCTTTCTGAGATTCACTGTGTTCTATATTCTTGGCTACTAAGTGTCAAGCAGGAGGCAAAACCTTGGGGAGGCAATCTAATGGGATTAATGCTAAGTAACTGTAGGTTCTGTCATTGCCCAGGAGAACCCTGAGAAAGAAATGCCCTCTGTCTCAGACAGGCAGGCTCCAAAACCACATAATGCCGCCTCCATCTTGACATCACTGCTGTCTTGGAAACAGAGCCTGATGGGTGGAGAAGAAAGGCACAGAGGAGGAAGAGAAGAGGGCAAGGGGAGAAGTATGGGGAAGTATATTTCAAATATTTAAGTGCTGGAAATAAGACCACATATTAGATTTTTAGTAGGTTACTTTCCTCTAAACAACTGGCTCTGATTTGCTTCTATAGGCTGTTCAGCTGTTCTGAGGTCTCCTCACATCCTATACTTTGCTCCCCTTCTGGATCTTCATTGATGCTTCCTTTTTGTAGAAAGCCCTTACCTCATTCTTTGCCTGGCTAATGTACTCCTTCAGGGCTCAGCTTAGGTCATCTTTTCCAGAAAGCATTTCCTGAAGCCCTCTGCTGGCTTAGGCAACCCCTCTCTTGTGCTCCTATGAATCTACATGTGTCACATTTTTATAGCACTTCACAAGACATTCATATCCCCTGAGAACAAGTCTCTCTCTCTCATTCTAGACCCTGAATGCTATTAGGACAAAAGTTATATTTGATTCTTTTTTTTTTTTTTTTAACTATTGTGGCTTGGCATGGAATAGGCATCAATATAAGCTCATCAAACTAGTTAGAGCTAAAGTGACCCTTAAAACCTTACTCTTCTCTGATGGTCACAGGTTTGGCAATCAGTGATAAAGACACTGACTGTGAGGGTCCTCAAAATCTTCCCCTTAGCCTGGAACATCACGGACTCAGCTGGAAAGCTAAGGTAAATAGCGAAAGAGGCCATCCCTATTGAGCTCTGGCTGTAGACAGCTGAGATGTGGGCTGCTACAGTGCCCAATCACCTTCTGTAGCTCACCCCATAACCCTGTTTGGCATATAGATAGCATATTTATTTCTAGTTTTTCTTGGCTTAATCTATGTCCTCATGTCTTCCACTACTGCTTATTGCAGGAAACGGTCAGAGTCATAGAAGGTCACTGTGTCCCAAGGAATCACTTCTATGTCACCTACATTTCTAAAAGAACCAGCAATGACCTGGAGCTCTGCACTATTTTCCCTGGCATTTCTTTGCATACTGTCATTATGATGACCATTATTCTTTTCTCAGGGAGACATGGTGACTAATAATAACATTATGGAAAAAACAAATGCAACTCATTGAACAAACGGATCCTGTAATTCATATTAATAATTCAAATAAAATGATAAATCTAACTCTCAGGCTCCAAAAGAAAAGAACCTTCAATACATCCTGAACTTGGCCTTCTTGTCAGAAATTTGAAAGCTCTATGGCCTGTTCCCAGCTTGGGCACTTAGGACAGCTGGATGACTTGGAAAGTTGAGCCTTGGCAAGGAGTCTCCTTACCCCTTTAATCAATTTCTCCTTGGTGCTCATTATTGTCTAATTACTCTCCTGTTGTGGATTAACTTGTGTTCCCAAAAAGATATGTGGAAGTCTTAACCTCCAGGACCTATGAATGTGACCTTATTTGGAAATAGGGTCTTTGCAGATGTAATCAAGATAAGATCATACTGGATTAGGGTGGGCCTTAAATCCAATGGCTAGGGTTCTTAAAGGAGAGAGAGATTCGGCACCAAGAAACAGAAGACACAGAGGGAAAAAGCCTATGTAGAGATGAAGGCAGAGATTGGACCTATGCTGCCACCAACCAAGGATCACTTACAACCACTAGAAGCTAGAAAAGAGTCATGGAACAGATTCTTCCCTAAAATATCAGAGGGAGCACAGCCATACTGACACTTTGATTTCAAACTCCTAGCCTCTGGAACTGGGAGAGAATAAGTGTCTGTTGTTTTAGGCCACCTAGTCTGTGATAATTTATGAGGGAAGCCCTAAGACACTTAGACACTCCTTCCTTTCCATCTTTTTATGGGAGGAAGAAGAAAGCAGTGCGATTCTCACATCTCTTGATTTTAGCCATGAGTGCATTGTATGAAATTAAAGCAGGACACATGCCTGGAAGATCAGCTGACCCATTAGGCCTTAGCCCTAAAGCAAAAGGAAAGGGAGTGAAACAGTGAGAGTAGAAAATAGCTATCATGAAAGAGAGAAGGGATAATGTGAACAAGAATAAGTGCCCATAAAGATCCAATGGTCTACAGGTGAAAATAACTGGGTCAGAAAACATGTATAGTCCCAGATGTCTATATACCTAAATACTGAAAGCATGTAACACAAGGCAGAAAATGCAATTTCATAATACATTGGATGGGACAGGACCTATGAACAGATTATATTTTAAAAGTAGGGGGGAAAAAAAGCCCTGAAAGGTAAAAAGGTGAAAGAATGTTGAGTGTCAAGGTGATAAGAAACAGAATGAAAATGTATAAATCTAAGGATAGGAACACATCAGATGAGGAGAGAAAGACAAATACGATGCAACCTACATGGACAAAATAATTGATGTTTGTTTTAACACATGTGATGAAACTGGAGTAGTGAGAAGTTATTGTAATGAGCAGCTTCGACCATTCATACATTTGTTGGAAACGTTATGGGACTAAAGGCAAAGCATCTGATATATTCCTAATTTGCCTCAATGGTAATTTAATCTCCTAGGTTGCTGCAAAAGTGACCAGCAGCAAAATGAAAGTCTAGGAACCTTGGAAGAAAGGGGCTATTATATCATCTCTTTCACTCACTTGACAAATGTTTTGAGTACCATTACATGTATATTTATTTAACATAAAGATAAATTAGGTATGGTTCCTGCCCTCAAGAAACCCACGATTAGGACTGAGTTAGACATGAATATCACAAAAAAATTACAGTATGATTAATGCAATAATGTATACAGTAACCAACTGTTATGAGAAGCATAGAGGAAAACAATCAGGGGTTTAGGTATAACATCCAAGAAAGGAAAGAAGGAGCATAATGAGACCTCTGCCTTAGATGCTAAGAAAGCACATTTTCCAATAAATGTGAAAGGGAAGACAGTTTATGAAGCTTTGAAACTTCTCTTTGTCAGAGAAAGAAGTTTAAGAAATCCTAAATCGGTAGAGTTGCCTGTGGACTCTTTAGCAACAGCTCAGAATTTTAAAGAGAATGTATACAAGATGAAAAACAGTCCCCTTAGAGATAAATTATGTGACAGAACAGTGAGAATGATGTCGAAAAGCCAACACCCTAAATCACCTCCTCCAAAATGCTAAGCCAGTGGGTGTTGGCTGGTTTGTTTGTGTCCAAGTTATGCTCAGAGCAAGGCCTTGGACAAGGAGTGGCTGGGCCTGCTGCTGGTCTGACATGCTTAGGCTGAATCAGGAGTGCACAGAACTCCTCAACTACTACTTGTTCCTATCTTTACGGTCAAGGGAGTGAAAAGGTAGAAAGGGGGAGTTTAGGCCTAGGTGAATAGAGAGACTGTAGGAGAGCCCCTGAGTGCTCTAAATTCTTACAAGACTCTTGAACTCCTGAATCCTGTGAGAGACAACAGGGAGACTGGAAAAGGGAGAAGGAGCTAAAGCAGGCAAATACCATTCTGATCCCAAAAAAGGGAAGGAGGTGGATTAGACAACAGTATCACTGACAGATGCCTAATTCTGGGTGTGTGTTCTCTTTCGACAAGTGGAGTGACTTCCCAAGGCCATATGGCATTAGCTAGGCTGGGATTCAAATCCAAGTCTGTACTCTCTCCAACATACTCTGCTACAATATGAAAAGTATTATTTCTAGAGCTGGCTTTATTTCTAATTTTTGCCTGTGACTTGGGTAGATCATTTTTCTCTCTGAGGCTCAGTTTCCTTATCTGTAAGATAAAGAGACAGAAAATCTCCAGGACTCTCTTCTAACATCCTGACTATGTTTTTCCTTAGATTCCGAACCAGCATGATTCAGCTGCAGTTTGACTTGCCGACCCAGGACCCTTGTCCCTGTGTCTCCATGACTCCCTTTCCTGGAGTCTGGCCTGTGACTACTCACCAGAACTGTGTGTTTATAGGCCCTGTGAATCACTATGCTGTAGCCAAACACAGTCACGTCCACCTGCTTGACCCACAAAGCCAGTGACGTGTCCCGGTCCTCATTCTTAGCTGTGACAATGAACTTGGGGAAAGCGTCTGAGCTTGGCCTGTTTCCTGTAGTACACAGAATGAGCGAGCAGCTGGTCTGGAAGTCAAAAGGGTAGTCATCAAAGGTCAAGTAGTGGCCATAGCCCGAGACAATGCAGGAGGCATCGGTGCGAGCCTGACAGTAGTACAGGCCGCCCTCCTCCATGCAATACTCATCTTCCTTGCAGGAGATGGTCTCACAATGGACGCTGTTGTCTGTGCCATTGCAATAGCAGAAGATCTGGCAGTCCAAGTCCACCCAGAAGGTCTCATTGGTGGCAAGTTGATGCCCCTCGAAGTTGCAGCCACACTCACTCCGGGTGACACACTGGTTGCCTTGCAGGGCGTAGCCCTCATCACACTGACACCCCTCAGAGCAGCTGTCCACACAGATGGGGCCCAGGGCCAGAGTCTCACAGGTTTCCGTACATGTCATACATTCCTCAAAATGGCTGTTCTCCGGGCAGTCCAGAGCTACAAGTGGTCAAGGAGAAAACAAGGTTGAGAAAGGGACAGAGGTCAGAGATAGAATGTGAGTGCACTCATTAGCATACAAGTGTGCGCATGCATGTGTATGTATGTATGTGTTGTGTTTGTACAGCGCAAGGAGCTTGATGAATACTATGTCATCCTCATTTGGGATGATCAAAGGCTCAGAGAAGCCTTCACTCCTGTGCTCCTCTCATGCACTTAGCTTTACATGTAGAAGATTTCAAGACTGTGAGACTGTATTGAGCTCTTGCCACATGCAAGACATTGTTCTAAATACTTTAGTGTAACCTTTCTCAACAACCTGGAAAGTAAGAAAAGTTTTATCATCTGTATCTTATAGATGAGAAAACTTAAATTTGGTGACTTAACCCAGCTAATAAGTACTGGAGAGAGATTTGGATCCAGATGTTCTAACTATAAGTCTTCTGACTCAAAACCCTGGATAAAGAGTGTGCTGGAGAGAACAAGTGCTGTGGGTACCATCTCTGAGCTTTGGTTTCTTCTTTTATTAAATAAGGACAATATTTACCTAGCCAAGTTGTTCTGAGGATTAACAAATGAATTTAATAAGTCTACAGTAGATCTCAATAAAATTATGCCCTTTCCCTTCTTTACACTTCCTTCTATTATAAATAGGCTTTATTTAGGTATTTTTACTCTACAAATTGATCTTTCCCTTTGTCTTTCATTTCTCTGATCTGCCACTTTCTGACCTCTTCTATTTTCTCACCACCCTCTGCACATGGTCACCTCCACCTCCTTTGCTCACACTCTTTTTATAATCTATATGGCTCTCACAAAGCCAAGTTCTACCCATCCTTCAAGTTTCATTTCAAACTGCACTTCTGCCCAGAAGTCTTTCTCGATAGATCAAGTTTTTGAGTCACGAAGCATAGTACATAAAAAGATAACAGCACATGTTGCTCACCATGGAATTCCAGGTAACCTTCTCATTTCTTTATCGTTTTAATTTGTCAAAGTTTGACATGAGCAGAGATGAATCCAGGAGCACAGAAGAAATCTACCTACAAATTTGTGTAGTCTAAAGATCTGGGAAGGTCCCCACCATCTCTTGGGAGAATAAGATCTTGCATTTAAAACTCTCTTTAGCTCTAATGCATATTAACACTCTTTAATGGTATTTCAGAATCCGAGGACACAAAGGATGATACAGAGAATTAAATTGCATGGTAATAATAGCTCTGCTGGCAAGTATCAACTCAACAGACCTGTACCATGTACTGAAAGCGATCATTTTTTTCTCTGGGCTAAAGGACTACCTCCATTCCCATTGACTAAAACACCACACAGCTTTGGCGTTGAAGGCTAGTTTAGCACTGATAAAAATATGTCTGTATAGAGGGATTTTCACATTTGTCTCTACATTATGAACATTATAACATTTACTGCAGGTTTATGGTGATAACAAATAACATGACTTATTTAAATGGCTCTCGCTTTATGACTTATTGTGTTGTCTGAATTTGTCTGAAAGTCTTGGACATAGAGACACGAAGTAATAAACTTCCCCTGGCCCCTGAAATGCTTCTGTGAAATTGTTTAATTGGGCAGACTGGCTCTGCCTACAAGAGGGCTGGTTAAATATATCTGAACACAGAAATTGTGGTTGTCTCTTGCTAGGCCCAAGGAAGACTGTGTTCCTGCTTTGCAACTATTGCCCAGTCTAATTCCCACTCTGTAAGACCCTGACCAGATTAACCCCTTAATATCCAGAGACTTGATTAATCAAATGTGCATTCTCCAGTACTTCTCCCAGACCCATGTACACAAGATCTGGATGAGACATATTGTAGGATGTCTCAAATTTGAGCCCTGGCCCACTGCCCGAAAAAGCCATGTTCCATGTGGATGCTTCTGTCCACATGTCTCTCTCTAAAAAAGGCCCTCACAAGAGTGCAGACCCCGATGAAGGATGATGAGAAGCTATTCTTAGCAGCCATCACACCAGGAAAAGAGAGACTCATCACCATCCCACTACACTTACTTTACACAAATAATGCCACCAAACTGTGCTCTCTGCAGTACAAAAAAGCAACCCAGAAACACTTCTTGATAGGCAGAAGTTCATAGTCCAACATAATGGCACAGACACAGCCTAACAACAAACTAGATTTGGTATGGGGTAAACTCAGTAATCCCATGCCATGAATGAATTACACCTAGAAAGCTGAGTGAGGGAGAAGGAACAGAGGTTATATTAGATAAACTAGAGATAGGACAAAGGATTATGAGGAAATTAGATTAAAAAGAAGGCTTTGGGAAAATATTACAAGGTTTCACTAGATGTGGTGGTCAATAGAGCCTTGGAGCCTCTCTCTCTGAAGGTGACTTTATGAAAAGGGAATGCTCCCAGAATTCTGGCTTTAGGATTCACAGCACCTGCTATTAGTCTCTCTCAAGGGTGGTTAAGGTTCGCCAGGGATATAACCACCCTTTTCTGAGATGACAGCCACCAAATGCTCCACGTGTACCTTGAACTTACAAAGCTCAGATTTAAAAAAATGAGTGTGTGATTGTTCATGTGTGTGTGTTAGTTCTTAGCTCTAGGATGTTTCTGTTGAAAAGGCTTAGAGGTAAAGCAAGAATACTCCAATAGCAATGCGTAAGCCTCACCCAGATCTTGGTTTCTAATAACATTCCCCAAAAAAAGGAATCAGGGCTTCTTGGAGTAGCAGTTGATTCTAGTCTCAGACAGGGGAAAGTTAAGAAATGAGTATGGGGCATTTTGCCATGCCAGAAAGCAAACAAATGACAGAGACATGCCAAAAGGACATAGGAGGCAATTTAAAGGGGCTCCCACCGGCCAATTCTGGAACAAATTTAACATTAAGATAATTATCGAATGCAATATGAAGTATAAATCATTTAAAAAATTAAAAATTTGTGTGTCTATGTTGATAAGATAGATGATTGAGATAGATAAATGCATAGATGGATGGATAGGTGAAAGGCAGAAAGGCAGAAGAGAAGGGAGGGTTCTTGTTTACAGTAGAATGACATACGCTGACTAATAAAGGAAATATAAACTTAATTATTTAAGTGCAATTTACTTTCAAATGGAGAGAGAGAGTGAGAGAAAATGGAAAGCAAATGGGGCAAAATGCTAACAACAGTTTAATCTTGGTAAAGGGTATACGGATATTCTTGCAACTTTTCTGTAACTTTGAAATTATTTTAAAATAAAAAGTTTTAAAAATAAATCTAGATAAAAAGATAACAGAAGAGAGATAGACATATGTAGAGGATAGACCCTTAATGGTGGCATTGGTTCTTTTTGGTGGGAATGGGATGGGTGTTGAAATCCAGGTTGAGCAGTCCTTGCTTCAGGTGTGGGTCCCACTCTCCCAGCCATTCCTTCTATCCTTCCACATTACTCCTCCCTGCGGCCTTCCAAATAACCAAGGGTGTCATATGGCAGGTCTTCCTAGCAATTATTCTAATTATTACTTGACCTACTGAGAGAGGTCAGATACTATGGGGACAAAATTAAAAAAAAAACAGCAATATGCAACTCTCTTAATAGCCATTGCCAAGCTTGCCCCAGGGCTCAGTGTTAACCCTATTCTATGAAAGTCATCCTGACTAATTACCTTCTAGTGAAATGAATTGGGCCCTTCTTTGCACCGAGGGAGCCATCACAAAGTTTGCATCATGACACGTGTTAGATAAAACCATCAGTCAAAAGGATGGCAAACTGTTCTACAATGAAGATATATTAGGTAATTACAAACAAATATAAAGGTGAGAAACAATTTGGTTTAGGGTGATGGACCTTCCAGAGGACATCTCAGACTAGGAAAGGTGTATACAGGAATTAGATTGTCCTTGAGTTCAATTCCAGCAGGAAGAGAAGTCCTGAGGAAGAAGATCCAGTATTTCATTTATTCCACCACCACCCAGTTGACCTCCCCCATAATGTAGCCCACACTTACGGCAGAAGTCATAGGTTCGCCAGGGGCCCACCTCCACATCAGCATTCTTGCAAGCACTTGCATACCGGGCCACAGAGTCACAGAGTTCTGACTCATTGCCTCCGCTCTGGCACAAGCGAAAAAGGCAGGTGCGGTAGTAGGCGGTGACATTGACCACCCCATGGCACTCTAAAAAGGAACTGTTGTAGGGGTCATTGATGATGCCACACCTGGAGCGGCTCCGATAAAATTTGAGCAGCTCTGAGTCATTGTTGCAGGCCTTCAGCAGGTCTCCACACTCCCCATTGCAGATCTCCTCAAAAGTTGTCCAGCTTTCCAGGAATACTGCCAGGTTATCTGTGCACTTGCCATTGGGGAGACAGAACTCATCGCTAGCATTAGCATTGAAGAAGCCACACAAGCCCCCAGTGCAATTAAAGTAAGTGGTGGAGAGCCGGATGTACAGCAGACCTGTGTCTGAATATTGGACGCTCACAACGCCTCTGGATTCTACTGTAGTACTGTTTTTGTTTCGATAAATTTCCAGCTTCCCGGAAGGATGGAAAAAAGGTAATTCCACTTCCTGACCATTCAACTGAAAAATTAAATTACTATCATCAATCCCAGCTACACACAGAGTACCCACAATTTCCCAGGCTATGAAACAAAGACAAGGCTAAGCCTTAGGACTAGCCTTTTGAGAACTGTCAAGAAACTGGAGGTCTGTAGAAACCACAGACCTCCAGTTTCTTGACAGATACCACCTGTTCGTTCATGGGTATCTTTGTTCCTTTATTTCTAAACTTCTCTGATTCAACACATTTGCTGTTTATTTCAGTATGTATGAGACTTTAAGCTAGCCTAAAACAAAATTTAAATGTGAGCAAACTTGTCTTTTATATGTGGCTTCCTCCTGCTGCCTGACACCTTTTCACAGACAACTAACTCTCCTTCTTCCTCACCTTTCTGGTTCCTTCCTTTCCCTTCAAATCATACTTTTTCTGTGTCCCAGCCCCTTGGTGGCATATAATATATACCTAATTATCTAGCTGTCCATTTACCTATGTACCTCTTACTATTCTTTTAATAAACTAATCTCTGCTGGTGTATCAATAGAATGAAAACATGGCCCTTTCAGTTTGTGCATGTGTGTTTTATTACGTCTTTGAACATTAACTTTTATTTTCTTAATTATATTTCATGTGATATTAGGAAATGCACGTTAAACTGGGAAAAGGGAGATCCACCCTCTCTGTGTATTCCCAACTCTGCTATTATTTAGCTTGAGGCCCACATCCCTGATGTAGCCCTTTGGCATCTTCATGTGAAAACAAGGAGTTGCACTAGATGATTCCAAAGATTCCTTCTAGAACTAATGATCTATGAGTCTGGATGCCTAATCCTGGGTATTTTAGATAAAATCAGAGGGGCAGGAGGCACCATGGCAGGCACCCTTTGCGTTACCCCATATGGATTCCCAGGGTAAAGAGCACAGGCTCTGGAGTCAGTCTGCCCAGGCCTGACTCCCATTCTATGGCTGTGTGTCCTTGAGGAAGTTACTTAACCTCTCTGTGCCTCAGTTTTCTCATCTGTAAAATAAGGACAATAATATATACCTCATAAGATTAAATGTGACACTCCTTAGAATAGTGCTTGGCACATAGTAAACATCCTATGAGTATTTGTTATTATGGAGAGCCAGGCCTGCTATACTGTCTAATCTGAAAATTCCCAGCTTCACTCCATTTCTCCACTTGTTGGACTTTTTATTTGGAGCTGATATTTAGGAAATGTTCTCATTTTGGAGTCATTGCCTTCCTAGCATTCACTCCTGATCAGAGGCAGAAAGGCAGATCTGAAAAATATGGCTCCTTCACTTGCATGACTAATGGGAAAACCCTCAAGGGAAGTAGGAGTCTTACCTTGACTTCTGAAGCCCCGACTCCTCCTATCTTAACCTCCTGGTTGGCTACCAGGATCCGAAGACCTCGCAGCCAGGCAGGCCCTGCATCTGGTTTCTTCTTGTTGATGTCTATTTCCAAGTACTCTGGCCTCTCAGGGCAGGTTTTGAGCAGCGTATAGGAGAACTCGGAGGGGAAGGTGTAGGCGGCTCCGTCAAAGGTGTGTAGCACCTGATTCTGGCTGAGCAGGCACACGGTCTCGCGCTTGGGGAAGCAGCCCCGGTAGCCGTCCTCCACAGCGCACACCTCTCCGCCCGGGCAGGTCTTGTTGAAGCAGTACACATCGCCGCCCTCCTCGCATAGGCACTGCACTGTGCAGTTGGCTGTGGCCCAGAAAAATTCCCCCATGGCGTAGTAGTGTCCATCGAATTCACAGCCGCACTTGTGCAGCGGGACACACTGGCTGGTGCTGAGGACAAAGCCTTCATTACATTCGCATCCCTCTGTGCATGGCATGGCACAGTTCTGAGAGGCCGTCAGGTCTGAGCACGTGTCAGGACAGCTGCTGGTGCACACGGAATAGTGGCTGAAGCTCGGACACTGCACAATGGACACTGACGTGGGGTAGAGAAGAGAGTATGACAACAAGGTCAATGACCCAGGTGTTAATAGCCAGAAGCCACCACGCACAGGAGTCTGGCGGAAGAGTGCTCCCTCCATTTAGCTCCTAGAGTGAGTGCCAAGCAGCCACTGGTTTGGGGAAGAGAGACTTGAAGTTGCATCTGTAGAAACCAGCTCAAGGGCTTTCCTAATAACTACTGAGCAATGTGATTGACTTGTGAACTTTGACTCTCATTTGACCATCAAGATCTTCAACTGGGGGACATATAAGTTGTTCCGATTTTAAGGAGCATGGCCCATTATTAGGAGGAAATAACTCCAAATTGCAGGAGAAATTAGAAATGTAACTATTAGAGGAATAATTTGAAAACATGAAATTTCTAACAGGAAGGTACTTAAAATACCTGAGTGACCAAAGAAAATTGTGAAAATGAATTCTCTGGGATATTAAAAATAAAAAGGAATCTGGCTATCTGAAAAGAATCTGTGTGCCTGTTCTACCAGAAGATTTGATTCAAATTGGAACTAGATGCCTTCTGAAGGCCCTTCTTGCCTTAGAAACCTTCAATTCTTATTTTAAGAACATCTGAATCTATGTAAATGTTTTGATCTAGTTGAATCCGACAAGTAAGGTCTCAAGGGACTGATAAACTAGCTCTCCAATTTAAATATGATTTATACCACTGACCTTAGAGAAGAGAGAGGGAGAGAGGGAGGTAGGGAGAGATTGAGGAAGAGAGAGGGAGAGGAATGTGGAATATAGGAAGGCAGTACTACTAGAGAAAAATATAGTTTATACAAGGATCAAAGAGAAGCTATATTCAGTCTCAACTTGAGTCAAGATTTGGTTGTTCCAGTCATAATAGAGGCTGGTCAGTTGCAAGGAGAAAAATACACTGTCTTTTAATAATTTGACCAATATTCAAAGAATTGAATCTGTTACATGATGACTTATGTGAATCCAACCTATACTGATAGAATTAAAATCTTCCTCTGGTCTTGGAACTTAAATAAATTTTTAAATCTTCTCAATTCCATAGTGCTTCTCAAATGCATGGTATATATTTTCTCTTTGCTCATATGGAGAAAAACAAGGACCAGAAAAGAAATAAAGTTCCAAGAAGCTGTTTTTTGTTGGCCTGTTTTAAAAATTCACATAACTAAGAAAAGATAGAGAGATTTAAGTGAGAGAGAAGTGGAGGGGTGGGGGAAGCAAAATAACTAAGTGGTATGAAACACTTAATTCAAAAGTATAACTCAAAAGATACTGAGTCAGGGCTTTTCCTAACCACTTAGCATTTCAGAAAAAGGGCTTCTTTCCTGGTATGCTATACTTTCCATCTGCCACTAGCAGCAGCAGGTCAGCCAAAATGCTACAGGGCAAGAGACACAAAACCTAAACGGGCTGAAAATGGAGAAGAGTGAGCCGAGGAACAAATGCTGTCGGTTCCACTCGGAGTTGAATTACTTTTCCAAAGCCTGGTTTTGCTTACCCAGGCCAATGTTTGCATTTACTAAACAGCCACAAATATAGCTACCTACACCTCTGAAAACCCCACCTCCTTGCTCAACTCTGGGACTGCCATCCCCTGCTTCAGCCCTCCCTCCGGCCAAGCATTTCCTGCTATGCATTTCATGTTTCCAGGCCATTTATGCTCATCAGTGGTTTCTCGTTTTCTGGCTATGATATTGGGTGGGGAAAAAAATAAAGATCCTTTTACAGTTCATTCTTCATAGTTTCTGACATTTCAACCTCACTTTCACTGTTAGACAATTTGTCTTAACAAGGAAATTTTTGAGGAGCCCAGAAATACTCTCCCTGCCCCCCTGCACAAGAGCGGCCTTTCATTTGGATGGGATGCCAGCTTACCACACCCAGTCTGCATTCGCCAGTCTCCAATTGGAATACCAAGGGCTTGGCACACAAGGGCATAGGCCTGGATGGCTTGACAGAGGAGTGTCCCGTTGTCCCTCACACTGCATAGGTCATACACGCAGCTGTGCACAAAGGCTGTGGGATCCACGACAGTGCCACATTCCCACAGGGGACCATCCGTCTTATTGAGGAAACCACAGTAGTCGGAGCCAAAGTAGAGGGCCTCGGTGATAGCATCGCATTGGGTGCAGTTGTCCATACAGCCTGAGTCACACTTCCACTCGGCATGGTAGACTCGCCAGCTCTCTCCTAGATCCAGGACAGACATGGCTGGTCGACCGTCCGGGCGGAGGAAATCATCCAGCGGGTTTTTATTGTAGTTCCCACAGAGCCCACACGTGGAGTTTATATAAGAGCCTGGGATGGAAATGGAGGCATAGTGCTGGCCATCAAATGTTACTAAAAGCCCAAAATCTGTTTCCACGGCAGTAGACATGCCACTCTGGTAGATTTTCACTGTCCCCAAGTCTAAGGTGATGGGCAAAGAAGTCACTAGGTCATTAACCTGCCAACAACAGTAATAGTAAAAGGTCGATGAGCAGGTTCCAAGGCAATGGGTCCGACTGAGATCAGGAAAGTGAAGCAAGGCAACTCAGTGCTCCAGAGAGAACACCCTTCCCCGCCTCAAACTTCCTGGGCTCTAATGGGCTTGCCTCCTATTAAGGCAGAGGCCTGGATGAACCCCTGAGAGCAGGCCGAGTATTGTGCATTTAAACTGTGACACATGTATTACTAGCACCACTCTGGACTCCTCTGGGGACCAGGTGGTTGTCAACTCTCCCTGCTGGCTCTAGAGCTAGTTTTAAGTCTCTTCTTGAAAGACTAGTTACCTCACTTTTTCTCTTTACTCTTCTAAATCTATTCCTTAAATCACAGCTTAAGTCACATATTTTCCATTCCCCCCTGAATGTCTTTAGCACTCCCTTATCCCTCCTCCCAGTTGAAGTGTATACTATAAACCATTCCCCACATTTAGTACTGAGGCTACCCTGGTATTATTCTCTGACTATTTCACCCAGCCACTTCCTGATACCAGAACCATTTCCTGGAATCATTGACAACAACAAATCTGAACACCTACTGGGTACATAGCACTATGTAAGGTGCTGAGAAATACAGAATTAAAAAAATAATCGCCTCTGCTCCTCATGAGCTCTCAGTCTACTGAGGAAGAGAGTTACAAATGACATTTATAATATACTATTTTAAATATGTGTTAATAGGTGAGGCAATGAGAGAACAGTAAATGAACACTTCATCTAGCCTGTGGAAGTCACATAAAGCTTTTTAGAGGCAATTAAGTCTGACTTGGGTCTTTAAAAATAAGCAGAAGTGGCAAAAGGAAGAATGAGGGGCAGGGAATTCCAGGACAAAAGAATAAAGGCAGGGTGGTTACAGTCATCAGGGTGGTACTGGACTGCAGAGGGAAGGGGTAGACAGAGATATAGCAGGAGACATGGGTGAGGTTCATTCATTCATAGAATACTGATTTAGCTTTTTTTGTATATCAAGCACTGTTCTAAGAGCTGGGAATTAGTAACAAGCAAAAAATCCCTGAGTCATGGAATTTATATTTCAGGTGAGAAAACCAACAACAAACAAAATAAAAAGGTAAAATATATAAATATGTTGAAAAAGTGTTCTGCAGAAAAATAAAGCAGGGAATGTGGATTGAGAGTTCTACGGAAGGGGTTTTCTAATTTTAAATAGGATGGTCAAAGAAGACCTCACTGGAAAGGGGACATTTGAGGTGTCCATGCTGTTATCTTGGGGAAGAGTGGCTCACACAGATTGGATAGCCAGGCCCTAAGGTGAAGCGTGCCAGGGCACTCCCAGAACCTCAAGGGGCCAGTGTGTCTGGAGCAGAGAGAGCAAGGAAAAGGTAGAGGTAGATGATGTCAGAAAGATAAGAAGAGCCAGAACAGGTAGGGTCTTTCAGCCATTGTGAAGACTTTGGCTTTGACTGAGTTAAGAGGATGTCTAGAGCAAAAGATCGACATGATCTGACTTGCGTTTTTAGAGAATCACTCTGGTGTCTGTGCTGGGAATAGGCCTTGGAGGGCCTTTGAAGTCACGTTTTAAAACAAAACAAAACAAAGCAAAACAAAATTCCATAAACAAACAAACAAAAAAGAAAAAAAAACAAATAAAACAGCTTGGATTTCTCTTCTGTAGGTAGAGCCCCAAAATGTTTTAAATGAGGAAATGGCAGAGACATACTTGCATTTTAGAAAGTCCATTCTGACCAGCATGAAGGACTCATTGAAGTATGTCAAAATTAGAAGCAAAGAAACCAGACAGGCAACTGCTGCTACAATACAGGAGTGATAGAAGATGGAGACAAACTACAAATGGACATGGAGATGGAGGGATGAGCTCATGGAGTACACTCAGCAGGTCCTGGTAGGTTTTTGCAGTGGGGAATGAGAAATGGAGGAAAAATCAAGAGTGCATCTCAAAAGTCTAGCTCACCTGAGCAGGTGGCTTAATAAGACTCCAAAAGAGAAAGACCGATTTTTTTCTTTTTCCTAGTGAATGTCCTAGCACCTATAGACATCACATTTGTGGGCTAGGATTGAATGGCTAGTCCCGCTGGAACTGACTATAACTGCACACAGGCTTTCCAAGCTACCTGATGCATACTGATTTCTGGCACATGAGAAGGACAAGGATCTTCAGTGCCACTATCGTTGCTACTTTATGAGTTGTCTAAGAGGTAAGACAACAGCCTGTCTAAGCATTGCCTCCAAGATTTACCATGGCGGATATCATGTACAATTCTTTGTTTCTAGAGATTAGTAAGACTTAAGGGGGAAAGGGGACAAAAAAAAAAATATGCTTGAGAAATAAGCCATCTTACAGAGAGGTAAAAGTAAAAAGTAAAACCTAGGAGTTGATTAATTTATCTGTATTTCCTAGGTAGCAGGTCGGCTAACGAGCGTGAAAGAAGTCATACTATAAGGAAAGTTAACCAGCAAGAGCCCTAGATGATTACTAGGTATTGTTCTATGCTGATGTGTAGAAAATGAGATCTTGTCCAAGGCTGGTATAATTGTAAATGCCAAATACAGCTGACCCTTGAACAACATGGGTTTGAACTGTGCGGATCCACTTACATGAGGATTTTTTTCAGTAGGTAACTGTAAATGTACTTTCTCTTCTTTATGATTTTCTTAACATTTTTTTTCTAGCTTACTTTTTAGTGTAAGAAAAGAGTATATAGTATATATAACATACGAAATACATGCTTATGTTATTCGTAAGGCTTCCAGTCAACAAGAGGCTATTGGTAGTTAAGTTTTTGGAGAATCAAAAGTTATTTGCAAATTTTTGATTGTGTAGGGGGTTGGCGCCCCCTGCATTGTTTAAGGGTATATCCACTGTTGAATGTGCTCCTTTCCTTTCACTTAAGCTCCCGCTAACAAAAGGCAGTCTTTTTTTCTCAGAAATCATGGGGTAGACTGTCTTTGGATATTGCAACAGTCCCCACTAGTTTCCCTGCATTAAATCTTGTCCCACTCAGACTAACTTTATCTCTAGGCCAACCATAGGGACCAGTACTTCAGTTTATACCTTTTTTCCTGGTGTAAGTGTTCCCCTTTCACTCTTACATGTGTCTCAGTTTAAACCACAAATTATAAGGTCCTTGTGGTTCTAGCTCATAGTGCTCAGAGTAGAAACTCCCAGAGAACTCTTACCCCAACACATGAATCTTAATTCATTCCTTTGGTCCTAGTCCTCAACTCATGATTAATCTCAACTCTTTGTTTCCCTTCTTTCCCTGTATTCTAATCATTTATCTCTTTGATGGTATCTCTCCCTGGATGTGGGCGTGGGCATGGGCATGGTTAGGGGAGAGAAGTAGAATCTTAGGAACATAGGTCTTAGAATGGAAAGAGATTTCAGTGGGAATGGCAATGTGGTAATGAGCAAGTACTGAGTGTCTACTGTGTGCCAACCTTTGTACTAGATGTCACACACATGGCTATTCTATTTCATTCTCATGACAACCTTAGAAGGTCTTTATCATCTCCCCCTTTTGTAGATGAGGAAATTAAAGTTCAGGGCTTGCATGAATTATAGTTGACAGGGCCTAAATGTCACTGATTGGGCTCCAAAGCCATGCTCTCTCCATTACTCCCTGCTGCCTCTATCCCAGTGCTGGGTAGAGGTAATCAAGTCCAAACCACAGCCCCAGAGCCCTGCCTCTTTGACACTATCATCCCATTTTTTACATAGAGAAAATAAAGCTCAAAAAGGCTCTCTGCTGGCAGTGGTGGCACAGGAATTGAGCAGCTCTGACTCCAGAGTCCAAGAGCTCTTCCACCATGTGCTGATCGGCCTTGGCACTTTTTCCCTGGAGCCCCTTAAACTACTAGGTTTATCTGGGGAAGAAACAGGAAAACTACTAAGTGTTAGCTAGAAGGAGATGTTTATTACATATGAATTTTATCTGGCTTTCTTTGGTTCCCATTAGCATATATAATCCTATGTTGTTTATTTTGTTACTTGAGAACAGTTTAAAGGGAGGAGGGCATATATGGAATCCACTTTCTAACACCAACATGCAGAGAAAGGTGACCTCTAGTCGGCAAGAACAGATCGTAGTAGCAGCAGTGCCTGGCTTGGCCCAGTGTGTCTGAAGAAGTCAGTTGCCTTGCAGGCATATTGGGCTCCTTCTTGCTTCCTATCCCAATTTCACCCTGTGTGGGAACTCTGCCATTCTCCAAGCCACCCCCAACCCCAGCAGAGTAGGCATATTCAGAGACACTTGGAAGCCATTTAGCTTGCAGCTGGAGTCACGTGACTTTCTTTTAAAACATTTACATTCACATTCATATCTCTCTGTTGCTGCAGAAAATTGAGGAATCCATGCCCTGTACTTCGATGATGAATAAAAGCCACGGAAAATTAGCAGAGCTGCAGTTCCTGAAAAGAATGGCAGTGCCCCTTCCTTCTAAAAACGTCTGACTGTGAGTGCAAAAAAATTTTAATCAAAATGGAAAGTAGGAATAAAGCACAAAGCTTTCTTTTTCAACTATAGATGTTATACATATCATCCTCACAATACAGGAAGTAGAGGAAAGCTAGTAAACATTCTTCTAGCTTGAAAATGTTAGTATCTACAGGGATAAGTATAGTGAGTGCTCAAAAGCACAATATAAAATTAAAGGAGAAAAACTCCAAACTTCTGTACCCGAACTCTTACCTTTGATTTGAAATATAGAACTGTCCCTAGGGAGACTAACCAAATAACAAGGAAAACTGGAATTTCAATCACAGTAATAGCTCACTTTTCTAATTGTGACACTGATAAACCTAGGAAGAGCAGAACCAGAAAAAGTGAAATTAGTTCCCCAGTTCTGCCTTTTGTTGAACATGCTGCATCTATTAAAACTACAATACATTGTTAAAAAGAAAGAAATCTCTGCATTGGCATCGGTTCTCTTTGTAATCTTTATGATGACCTCCATGCTTGGGAATTAAGGATTGCACAGGGTTGCAGCAATCAATCCCTTGTGGTCCTAGTTATTATATGATTGCTTGAATAAATACATGGTTGCAACAAGGTCTTCATTAACATTATGAAAATTAGAGCCTCCACATATTGAGTAATTGCTAGTAGCTTTTTGCTCTTCCTCTTTTGTCAATGCTCCTGCTTGAAATCCAGGTTGACAGTGACAGAGATTATTTGCATATGCTAAAAAGACCAACAGAGAGCCATGCCCTTTTCTCTTATTTCCAGCAGAAGTGGGCAATTCTGTTAGAGGGGTGTTTGGGCAAAGCTTTCATGGGACCTTCCTCCCCAGGTTTCAGTACAGAAGTCACTAAGCCCTCTCCAGGTGCTTGCACAGACAGTACCTCTGGAAACACAGATCAATTTGAAGTTTTCTCTGAGAATGAGGCAGCAGCTCTAGGGCAAACAGAACAGGGGTGAGGATTGTTAATGAAAGGCTATACTGAATTATGGGTTTGTACTTTGTGTTTACACCAGCTCCAGGGCATGGCTCTGTGGCTACCATTGTTTCAAGTCAGGTGCATGACAAACTGAACTTACCACTTGTCCCAGTTACTGTCGAGTTTGAATGTTTGCGTGTATATATGTGTGTACATCAGTGTTTATGAAGGAACCAGGAATGTAAATGTACTTTAAGATAAACAGAAGATAGACGTGTCAAAGAGGGAGCTTAGATTATCTCTCGTACAATAAAATTTAGCTTAGTAAAGAATTTTACAAGGTATTTGCAAGGCAGAAAGAGCAGTGAATCTCTTTGGTACAAACAGTAAATAGTAGAACCAGTAGATCTAGGCAAGTCTTCCCCAGGCTAAAAACTCTCCAGCTTCTCCATCTCCCTGTGAAGGATGGAGAGGGTCTCACCTTGACTTTTCCATAGCTTCCTTTGGGGATGAGAATCTTGTAGCCATTCACCTCCACAGAGAGCTCCTTCACCCAAGAGACAGCTGAGCCCCCACGGTGCTCATTCTTGGCCTCCACACTGAAGAAGGGGAGGCTGGAAGTCTGCAAACACTGCCGTGCCAACAGATAGGCACATGACCCTTGGAAGTGAAAGAGGAAGCCATCGAAAGTGTGATAGTGAGGCTCCCCGAACACTACGCACGTACTGGTCTCCATGGGGCTGCAGTAGAAGAATTTGCCTTTGGGTTCGCACATTTCGTAGGGGCTACAAGAGGCCTCCTGGCAGTAGATCTCATTATTGAAATCCAGACAGCGGCACTTGATGGTGCAGTTCAGATCATCCCAAAACACTTCCCCTCGCCGAAGGAACTGTCCTGAGGAATAATGACATTAGAGCCAACATTTATTGAGCACTTACCCTCTGTGCCAGGCATTGGGTAAATGTTTGACTTGCATTATATCGTTTAATCCACAAAAGAACCCTAGGACATATGTATTGTTGCTCTCACTTGACAAGTGATGAACAGGTTTCAGAGAAATTAAATAATTCATCCAAGATCACTCGGCACCTCAGTGGTGAAGCTAGGATTCCAAGGGAGTCTGTCTGAATCCAATCTAAGCTTTTGGCATAATATTTTCCATGCTAATGAACACACTCTCATACAAGGAAAGACACACTGTCTTAATCTATGAGTGAGACTATGACACCCAAGAGTCATACCCTTTCTTTCAGCAATAACAGAAAGGATATTCCAAAAGAAGGCACAGTTTACTCAGGTTACTCAGCAACACCGTTCACTTGTTCACTTATCCACTCATTCAGCAAACATTTGTTGGAAGCCCAGTATGTGACAGAAAGGATCAATAGGATAAATCAGGAGTCAGACCTACAAATTTAAATCCCAGTCTTCCTGGGAAGATTTTAGAAAAGGCTGACCTCTGGTTTGGAACATTCCAGGGCTCATAAATCCTGCAGATGTTGCAGACAACTTACAACTACATAAGTTATCTTCTCTCTTGCTCTAGGACCTGTGCAAGTCCAGTACGTCTCTCTCTTTATCCACTGACAGAAGTTCTTAACAGAATCTGGGTCAGGAGCACAAGGTGGAGGGGGAGAGGAATGCTTTAAAGGGATGTGCTCATTTTAAAAATATTAATTACCATTTATTTGGTAGATAATCTGTTGTTAAAACCATTTCCCTAAATAAATGCTCTCCCCCATCAAAAACTTTAAAATTTGCCAGTTGTTTATATCAACCTTCAATTGAAATAGTCTTTGTTTGGGGATCAGAGTCAAGAGAACTGAACAATGGCCACAACTCTGCAACCAATTTCTATTACTACTGACTTAACTTCCATCTGTCTCAGTTTTCTAACCTGTAAAATGTGGACAATGCTATTTTCTCATCCCTGCCTCATGGGGAACAGTGATGCTATAAAAATTTGGCACACATTGATAGATGTAAGGGCATTTATAAACTGAGAATTTTACAACTGTCTAAAAAGGAAAGTATCAGAGATACAACATTGAGAAATGTAAATAACGTCATAGACCAGGAGTAACTATAGTGTGAAACTGTAGTCTGAAAAGGTTTCTTATGTTTTTATAAAACTGAATAGCACAAGACTGCAAGACTAACCCAAGCAGAAAGCATGGGTGCCTCAGTAACAGTCCTTTCTATCTCTGTCAGCAGAAACAGTTATGTCTAAACAAGCAATTATGTTTCATACTTGTTAAGAATAGGGCCCTAAAATGGGATAATAAATTTATTCACATTCCTAGTAGGTCATATGCATCAGCTCTGAAAAAAAGGCCCTTCAAACCTCAAAAATATTTGGCACTAGTCCAGGTTGAATATATTGTAACAGCCTCCACTGTAATTTCCAGTCTCTGCTTTTTCAGGTTTCCAATAAATGAGAGGAAAACGCCTTTGAATAGAGGAAGTTTGGCCCAAAAGGTAGACTCTCTGAGAATATTTTGCTTGTGAAACGATGATATAATAAATCAGCTCCATGCAGCAGCTCTTCCCTTGCTATTACCCAGGACAAATCTCAGTCTCTTTGGATTGATGTATGTCCAGTGGCACATGAAATACATAGCAGTCTATATAAGGATATTGAATTTGTCCTGTATATGAAACCCAAACCCATAACTCAGGAGGAAAAGAATGAAGCCAAACTGGGGACTTAGCACATAGCTGGCATCTGACCAATTCCACAGCTCTGCAAGCCAATACTTTCAGTTACCACAGCATTTCATTCCCAGGACTCAAGCGAGAAGCTGTCACTGGGCACTTACGTTGCACGGCCACAGCCAGTCAGCTCTGTAATGCTTGGACAAAGGAGAGAGGCTTTGGGTAGGTCTCTAGTCCAGGGAGAGAGATAATGGGATGTTGGTTTGGTATCTTTCACAGACCTTGAGTGAAGCGTATTTACATTCTACATGGGAGGAGAGTATAGTCTCTGAAAACCTGGTGAGCTTTGGAGCTAGATTCTTTTCTGTCCAGTTTAATACTGGCTTAGTTCTAAAACATATGTTTGCTATTCTGAACATGGAGGACTTTACAGAATCTACAGAGGCAAAGATGCCCAGGCAAACCATTTTCACAAAAAGACCTTTCCTTAAAGCATAGGCAGAAGTTTGATAAGCCTGACCACAATGCAAGGACTTGGAGAAGAGGGAGTGGGGATTTCAGACCAGGTTAAGATGGCTTTTCTGTATATTATACAAACTGAAGTTCTATATATTATACAACCCTGAGGTCCCCTGGGATTGCCGGGACACACAGATCACCAGGCAAGGCCTTCTCTCTGAGGAGGACAGGAGACTACCTGAAACCTTTATGCCAATGTAAAACTTTTTCATAGATCTGGAAACATTTTCCCCAGGGTTATCTTCTGTACTTTTCCGCAATACCCTGCACTCATGTCTATCATACTATGCCTTAAACTGTATCATCATTTCTGTGGCTGACTTCTTTACCATAGTGTTGTCATAGAAGGCTGGAGCGCCTTCATCTTTAGCACCTAACAGAGTGGCTAGCACCTAACTGGGGCTCTCGAAATGTTCTTTGGAAAGATATGATGGCTGGATGGCTGAACTGATGGGTGGGTAGATGATTATTGTTGCTATAGCCTTCACTCCTAGAAGTAGAAATTTTAAAAGAAATCTTGTTTTCAAAATGCTTTTAGACACATAAAAAGAGGGAATCTATAAACCAGGATGTTCCTGTGAGAGTCCTGGGTTGTTTTGCACATCCAAATAGGTTTTGATAGTTCAGAGAAGGCTCCAAACTTTGGATGTCAAAGTAAAGAAAACTCACCAAGGTTCAACTACAGCTCATTCACATAGACCTAAAGCCAGCTTTGATTCTCCCCCAAATTCCTGCATGTTTTGCTGCTGCTGGGAAGATTCTAGGAGTAGCTACCCTAAAGACTATGACACTTTTTTCTTTCTTTCTAATCATACTAGGAAGTACTGATTTACTCTCATGGAGACTAGGCAACACTCCAAGTTCGCCTACTTCTATGAATCGTCAAAGTGCAGATGGCAGAGCAGGAGTAAAGATGAGAAGAAAAAGGAGGAGGGAATGACAACAACAAAGATAATGTTAAACAAGAGGGCTCTCTTCTAGTGCCTCTGGCTGAGAAATCACTTAAGATTCTCATCCATTCTGCAGTTGTTCCAAACACGAAGCTGTGTTCACACCCAAGGCCAGGACTTCGTAAAATACAATGTAGCAAGTGCAGGGTTTCAGCTCCTTGTCTGACAAATGTGCATGCTAGAATTACCTTGATCTCCATTACCCAGCTGAGAGATGTTAAAAGAGTAAGGCACCAGAAATGAGTTCACTCTTGTGGCTTAAAAGCTTTCCTGTCAATCTAATTGAAACAAACTCTGCTTTGCTCTAGAGAAGAAAAATCTTTACCTCTGGAGGTACAGCCATTGGCTGGGTCAATTTCCTTCCCGTCAACTTTAAATGCCCAGCGGCCTGGAACATTGACATTTGTGGTCTCCTGGATATTCACAATATCAGGGGTTCTTGACCCTGGGAGGCTGAAGAAATTGGTGAGGTTTCCACCATTAAATCCTGCCTAGAGCACAGAAGGAAGACAGGAGCTTTGAGCACAAACACTACCTCCTTTGGTTATCTTGTCCAGATACCCTATTTTCAGAATCTAGCACATCTAAACTTACGAGACTCCTTTTTTCTGCAGCCCTTGTGCCACCATTTCATGTGAGAAAGGCCACACTTGAATCAAGGTATCGAAGAGGGACAAGACTAACCTCTCAGTCCGTCCACCTCCAAGATAAGACACACTTCTGTAGTTTAAAGGTGTGAGTAGGACTCTTTCTAGGATGCTGAGAAGCATAAGCAGAGAGTGTAGTGTTTCAGAACTTTCAGAAAGATGAAATGGAGAACCACCTACCTGCGCCATCACTCCCCCAAGACCTGTCAGGGGATCTCCGCCGCTGGCCGTCCCTGTAGTCCAGTTGATTTCATAATAATTGAAGAGTGTGAATGTATAGGAGCCATCAGACACCAGGACTGCCTGGAAGGTGTTCACCTACAATATGGGAATAGATGGGCTCATGACTCACATTCCCCAAGAGCTCCTCTCCCCATTCGCAAGTCCCTTTACTCTGCACCTTCCCTGCCCCCAAGCATCTCAGTGCTGCTCCACGCCAGGCCTCACTCTCTGCCTCCTCTCTGAATGTGTTCTCTCCTCCAGTGAGAAAAGATAGACATATAGGATTGTGCACTTAAAAGAGAAATTGCCTGAGAATAACCTGGAGACTGACTCAGCTCTCCCTCTTATCTGACATACCAGGCAGAAAATTTAAGGCGGGGCTCAGCTTGTAATGATACATGAGTACCTATAGATGGCAGCATGAGAATAAGCTATAGGAAATTGTCAAGGCTGAGAAAGGGCGGCAAGCACCTCTTTCCACAGCAGATTGATTGGGTGGGATGTGAGGAGGTGAAGAGAGAACCAGCAAATGCTTGTCAGTGAAAAGAAAGTTTTCGTATGGACTGTGCTCTCTCCCTTCGCAGAAAACGCTGGTAACCTGGGTGAGATGTCTCACCTTTTTCAAAATGGCAATTGAAAGTGATTTTTATAAAGCATTTTGTAAGGAGAAACTGCTCCTCTAAATGAACATTTATGCATCACTTTATGTCTGCAATATTCTCAACACTCATCTGTACCTCAGACCAAAGCTAAGATGGGCAATTTTGGGGGCCATTCCCATCATATAGCTTAAAAAGCTGAGGGCTAAGGGATATGAATTGCTGGAAATTTCACAATGACCCATCAACAGAAAATAGGATTCAAGCCAGAGCTCCTAGTCTATCTCTTACTGTACTGTCATTACACACTGTCTTAATTTTCAACTTTTTAGGACAGAGATGTTATATAAATTCAAACAAGGCTTGCAAACAGTTGCTGGAAACAAGCTGCAGCAAACGGTATCCTTTACTCATTCCCTTTACTAATCCCTGATCTTGATGGATGCTTTCAAGATATTAAAATAAAAATAGAGTTAAAAGGAGAGGCTGCTTTTTTTTTTCTTTTCCTTTACTAATCCCTGATCTTGATGGATGCTTTCAAGATATTAAAATAAAAATAGAGTTAAAAGGAGAGGCTGCTTTGACCTTTTCCATTCAAATCTAGCACTTTTCCCAGCTGTCTGGTACTGTCCTGGTTAACGCTGTCAGACGCAGAGGAAGACCCAGATCTTTATCCTGTGTAATCGAACTAGGGTAGAGGATCTTGGAAGCCCCAAATCTTCCATCATAGATGGTCCCGAGGAGGGAGACAAGGTGCAAGGAAAGAAAAGCCCGTTTTGTAAACAAGAACTTTGTCCTCAAGCCCTGTGCTTGCCACAGCTGATGGCATTTATGATAGTCACTCAGATATATGCCTCCATTCTTTGGCCCTGCTCAACAAAAAAGGAAAGTAGGACCTAGAGATAAGTGAGCAGTCAGCTCAAGACTGCTATAAGGTCATTGCAAGGTCAGGTTCAAGAAACAGGCACAAAGTCAAGGTCACACAAGGACTAAAGCTAAACCCTCCTTTAGACCAGGATTCTCCTTTAGGAAGTGAATTTCTTCTCCCAAAATGAAGTTGGAAATATCTTCGGTCCAAATAGGTCTTGAGAGCAACCCATTTCTGATCTCAGAAGTCACCTCAAAACCAGCCACCCTAACAACACCCCAAAGGCTCATTTGCCCTCATGAACATCCTTGCTCACTCTCACACACTCTTATACATACTTATCTCTTCAACGTTAGTTTTAAGACTCTTCCAGTTCTATTTTAGTAAAACTATGTTTTCAATTCTTGAAAAAACCCTCTTATACTCCAGAGAAGACTTCTAATGATACCTGGAGGAGGGAGCTGAGAAAAAAGTTCAGGGTTTAGAATTAAACTTCAGTTTGAACTCTGCTCTGCCTTCTCTGAGGTTCAAACCTCTTTTCTTGATATTAGGCGAATTATTTAACCTCTCTGGGTCTGTTCCCTCACCTTGTAAGTGAAGAGAGTGCTTATTGTGGAACACTCTTGTGATGGCTAAATAAGATACAAAAATAGGCTATCACAGACCTGAGCTCAAAGTGATCCTTCAATAAGTATTAGTTTTCCTTCCTTAAAATAAACATGTTCCCTTCCCCTTCTCTTTCTGTTGGGCTTCCATGAGACCTTCTGCCTCTTAAAGGCCTTTCATGCCCAGTGTTTACTTGGCCTGACGCTATGTGTTCCTACTAAGAAGGGGAAGCATGAGATAATAGGGAGATGGAAGAGTGGACCAATATCAAAGATAGGAATGGATGGATACTTCTGCAGCTCTAGAAGATTATATCACCTTTTTCTCCAAGGAGCACAAAACATTTAGATGTTATTTCATTCATCTTCATTGAAAGAATTCTCACCTAGTCCAGAAATTTACTTTAAAATACAAACCAAAAAGTATCTAAATTATCTTGCCAATTTTATTGCCAATAAAAATTTTTTGTTTTGGAAGAAAAAATGGTGGCCAGCATTTGATGGGCATTTCTTCTCTTTTTTCCCCACTGACACTAAAATTTATCAATCCTTGGCATCTTACATTCTAACACTGTAAGGTATGAGGTTTAAAGGACATAAAATATCATCTGAGGGGTCATTAGCAATCCATAACATGACAGAGTGACAGAGGGAAATGTATGCTTCTTTAGAGGTTATTTCTAGCCATGTATCCACTGTTTAAACTGTGTCTTTCTGTTCTCCAGAACCTCATAGTGATAAAGTACATCTTGACGCTCTGTTCAGAAAGTGCTAAAACACAATGTGCTCATTGCATGACAGCTTTGAATTGCTAGCCCAGCACTTTCCCAATTCTGTCTCTAACTCAATAGTTTCTGTTCTACCCCCAAACACCTGACTCTGCCAAGGAAATCGGAAAACAGATGGAATCGGAAATAATCCTAAGAAAGCAGAGGGCAGATTTTTGAGTGTCTGCTTACTGGAAATTATATAGATGAAGGCACGTCTGCTACTTCAAAAATCTCCACCATCAAAGTCACCCAAATAAGCCACAGGTTTTTTGTGAAAAATGTGTTCTGTACCTTTATGTAGAAAGTTGATTATCTCTACTATAATGCCAGTGATAATCTTTCTTATTTGACTTTTACTTGACTGCTCATTTGGGATTTCAGAGCAGATTTTAAAACTTTATTCATGAAACACTTTAACTGCCCACTCCAGTTAGCATCAAATATGAATGCCAGCCCCAGTGACAATAAAAAAAAAAAAAAAAGGTCATAACATAATAAAACGAGTCAGGTTATTTGTGCCCCAAACCAGCACCCTATTTTCCTTGTCCTAACAGGGTTGTATGGGAAAAAAAAAGAAAAGTAAAGAAAGAGAAAAGAAAAGAAAATTAGCTGATGGAGAGAGGCATTTATGCCTCTGGTAAGAAGAAAGGACCTTTGGGTTCCTAACGGGTCCCTAATCATGTGTGGCCTCTTTCAGGTCTCAGTGACTTAATCAGTCTCCTACAAAATAGAAATGCTAGGACTGCAAGAGACTTATGGTGGGGTTCTTTTAGGACACTTGTAATGATCAGTAATAGGGATAACACATCTAAAATATTACAGCTGACTGAACTGGTTAGGTAGGTATGATATCTTTCTGTTTCCTGAAAATAGGTATCAAGACTCATTAGTTTAACCCTAGGAAATGGACTTTTCTCAGCTCTAACAATTAGACTCCTTCACAGTGGTGAAGATGGACAAGAATTAGATGTCAGGATATGAAGTGGAAAATGGAAAATTTGAATTATTACAGGTGTGGTGCTGCTCCCTCCATAAAACGTGACTTCCTCCCATGTCACAATGAAAACCCAAGTGGCAGAGAAGGTTGCCATGTCTTTGAAGTACTTCCTGATGTCCTTGGTGGCTCTTTTCAAGATGACAGGGTCCATGGTCTCTCTGTAATAGATCTCGCCTCGAATTCCATTGTGCACATCTGCCCAAAATGGGGCGATGAAGGCCCTCCCATCCGTCAAGGGGAAGGGCTCTGGTGTGAACTGGCTCACGAGCACATCAAAGGAGACAACTCCATTGTTATTGACCTGCAGAGACAGGAGAGGTTTCACATGAGGGGTCTGAAACCATGACAGACAGCTCAGAGTCCTGAACCAAGACAGACGTTCACCTAATCATAGGAATGGAAACAACTAAACTACTGAATTAGAACTTCCAAATATTGTTCAACTAAGAGGTTCATTTACTTCCTGACAAAATCATTGGTTTTCTTTCACTTTCAATTTGTATTAAGCTGCATTTCTTATTAATAATCAGTCTAATTTTCATGTTCTTTATCCTATCTATATTTACATTTATCTAATGCTATTCATGGGGGCAGGCAGGGGATAATATGGGCAATAAAGATGATCCAGAGTCACAGAGGCAAAAAAATAAAAACTTGAAGCAGAAAATTAAATTTAAAAATTGAGGAGCTCTGTATTAGACATTGATTTCTATTATATGACAAGAGATGAATGTCAGAAAAAGGAAAATCAAATACTCCATCATCAAACTCAGATCTCAGGATAAACCATATCCTGTTCTAGATAAGACATTTAAAGGACTTCTACTGATATCAAACCACTCGACTATCTTATGGTGATTTCTTCATAATTTGTAAATGGCTTAGTAAACTTGTTAAATTACTAAACCTTACTGCAAACCCCAAGCTATTATTGTACACTCAGTTGACATGAGACCTATAAAAAATGTGCCTCTGCCTGTGTCTGTAGCTCTATACATTGGTAGATAAGGCTGACTTAACCCTATGGCTTGTGTGGCTTCAATAGCAGAAATGCCTGTGATGAAAATACTTGAAATTCTTCGATACATAAAACCTGGAGATCATTTTTCGATATATTGTAATTATTTGTTGTGTTCATATTAATTAGTAATGTTATAAACATTAACCAGGACCCAGATCTCAGAGGTAAGTTATCAGTACCTGGACCAGGGGTATGTCAGTCTGTTTTGGAAGCAAGGGTGTGGGATTTATAAAGGAAGTTGGAGACCCAGCTACAAGGCATTTAGAACCTATTGTCTGCAAGTAACAGTGAATAACCCAGAGGCCTGAACACATTGCACTACTGAGTGCTGGAAACTCTTGGGAGCAATTTGCCCTCCAATAAGTCTGCCCCAAATTAAGGACTCTCCTTTTTCAAGGACGAGAATTATTCAGGCTCCATGTCACATAGTACAGTGGAGGAGAAAGAGGAGTTTAACTAAATATAGTGGTTCTAGATGTCTGTAAGACTAAGGTTTCTGAAATAGAAGTCCTGTATGCCTCTCTCATCTCCAAATCAGGTCAACACATTCTGAAATTTACAGTCAACTATTACAGACTAAGGAATCTCTACTGTGAGTAGAGTATAAAAGGCATTTCAGGATGCCAGAGCAATGTGTTGCTAGGCAATAATGGCTGTAATTAAAACACACAGACTAGCAGAGAAAGCTGGTGATGACTCAGTTGTGTTTTGATTATATTCTATAGTTAAGACCAATCATTCTCAAACTTTGTGGACATCAAAATCACCTAGAGGGCTAGTTAAAACACGGATTACTAGGTTTCCCTCCAAGAGTTTCTGATTCAGTAGGTCTAGGGTGGGGCCTGAGAATTGACATTTTTAACAAGTGCCCAGGTAGATTCTGATGCTGCAGGTTCAAAAACCACTGGTTAGATAATGGAAGCGGGAACTATTTTCTAGTGAGAGTCAGCCTTGAGCTATAAATCAAAAGTTGGAGAATACAGAGTTTCCATATTCAGAGATGTCCAGAGGTATAGATGCTTAAAGTTTCATTTCATCCTCTACAGCAGGACACAGAATAGAATAGGATGTGATCTACATATGCCACACACAATCCTATAAGGTCAAAGATACAAACAGGTTCAGTTGCTCTGAACTTTCTTCTCAATGTGCAACAGTCTCAGTAGCAGCAAACTCAATGATCAAAAAAAAACAAAAACAAAAACAAACAAAAAACCCAGAAACTCCCTCGAGAACACAGTTGCTCAGGAGAGTTCTGACAGCATATGGTATCATTTCTTCATGCAGGTTTGACAAAGAGACCCTAGAGAATCTCAGACCCAATGAAGGTAGACAATTCTGCAAATAACTTGTATATAATTGTTGATTACCCCTCTACTATGTTCTGACTCTGCTTTGAACTGGTAGGAAGGCTAAGAATAACAGATGTGTAAACTTTTCACACCCCCAGAGGGAAAAGAAAAATGATGTTGCTTTTCTTGTAGTTCATTGTATCTTTTTATCTCGTTGAGTAGCAGAAATAATGTTTATAGCACTGGGGGCTCTGCTTCACTTCTGTATTTAATCACCCACAAAAGCAATTTATTGTTCTGTATACTCCTTTACTATGAACATTAGTCATTAAATATACCTTTGACTTTCTTAATCATGAAATCTCAGTTCATGGTATCTCAGAACCTGTCGTTTGGGCTGCCACTAAATTCTCCGTTCCTGGAGCCCTGGAGGAAAGTACTTTAAATGTTTTTCTTAATGACAAACAAAGGGAAAGCCACAGAGCAACAGCTGGGCTGCTTTTCCACTTACATAGACAGTGCGGTAAGGAACGCCAAAGAAGAATATGGGGATGGCCAACTTAATCTCAGATGAGCTTCCATCATCTACTTTAGGGGTTTTGGTGTCATTCTGCCAAAATGGATACATGAGCTCCCTGGGCTGAACTGTCAAGAGAGACGGTAGTTAGATAGATGGCAGATCCTTCTTCTATTGGGCAAGCTACTTCTCTCCCACCCACCAAAGCCAACTTCTTTCAGTAAGTCTAACAAATTAATTGCAAGTCAGACTCCCTTTTCATTAAGCTGCCTAATCTTCTGCCTCTGGAAATCACTTCATGCTTCATTTCTATGCTTCCATACGTTTTGGAGAGAACAATGGTTAAAACTGGCTGGAAATTGTGTAATCGCTCCTGCTTGGAGCTCTCCGAGCACTGAGAGGTGGCCTCTAGGTCTGGCATGGCTTAGATGGCTTGATCTTTGATCAGAAGGCAAGATATAGAGAAGATGGTTTGTGGCTATAAAGCTCCCTTGTAGTTCAAGAATTCTATTATCAAGTCTTTTCCTGAAAGGAGGCCCCTCCCTCCTGCTGCACAGTAGGAGAAGATACTAGGTCCCAGAAGGAAAGAAATGACAGTTGGAACTGGGACAAAAGTGGGAGGACAGAGTTTGTAGTAACTGGTCTGTGAATGACCTTGATTGAGCTCCAGCCCTGCAAGAAGGCTCTCTGCTCAGCTCCTGTTTAAAATAGACAGCACAGGACACTTTGGGGTGAGGGAGGTTGGGCCCTTGAGTATTCTAGAGAGAGGCTCAGGGCTCTTACTCATCATCCTGGTCAAAAGTGAGAACCGATACACCCAGGTCCCCTCATGTAACTGTGTCACCACCACTCCTGGAAACCTGGTTTGTTTCTCCTCCAAACTTTTGCAGGAGGTGGCCTAGTTTAGTGAGAGAAATTAGATAATTTCCCAAGGGTCTATGTTATTGATGATCAGATCCAATGAGATCTATGAAATAATCTACATTTGAGATGTAACTTTTCTCTGCTTCTGTCCTCTCTTCTCTTGAGTTAAAATAGAAAACTAGAACATCATCTTTTCTTCCTTTAAAAAAAAAATGTTTGTTAATTTTCAGGGGCAATGGCAAATCCATTTGGGGTTTCTGGTCCTATTTCTTGAGGAGTCTGCTTGCTGCAATCTAGATGCTAATATCTCATTCTCGGGTCAGGGTCCATCTCCTTGGGAAACTCCCTGCTCTGTGCCAATGGAGCTGGTCAGATGGTGAGCACCTGGGCAAGGACTGCCTGCTCCTCTGGAACCTTTAAGTGGGGCAGAGAAAATCTCATATAAAAGAGACTGTAGAGTGACCAGAAAGCAGCTCAGGAGTGCCAGGCCAAGTGCCAGCATCTCTCTTGGAGCGAGGAGAGTTGATCTGTTTCCCAGGGCTAACATCAGAGGAAAGCAGGGAAAAGTAAGCCCCAGAAGTCTCTGGGAAGCCAACCAAATTTGAGTCTTTAAGAGGTGCTGTAGCTAGTTTAATCACAGGAACACTCAGCCATTATGCTTTATTTAATATCACAATCAAAAGGCAAAAGGGATTCTCTAACGTTCATATTTACACAGAAGTAACAAATTCCAAATTCCAAGAAGGTAAGAATTTTTTTAAAAAAATTTCTATAATCCTTATCATAGCTTTATATACAGATACTTATTAAACTTGAAAGGTGATAAACTTTCTCAAATTAGTAATAAATCAAATCACATCATGGATTTACTCTTCATGGGGAACTATTTAGGAGTGATGCCCAAGTGTGAATAAGGGCTCGTATTCACACTGAATTGAAATCATTTTAATAGAAGGATTAATTGGTATTTTGAGCAGCGTTGGCTGATCTGCCTAGGAAATGAAAAATCCAAAAGCCTTCGCGGAGGAGACAGAAAACTATGATCATGAAGACTGCCCCTAATGTCTCTCTCTGCTCTAAAGGTGAGGCAAATTTGTATATTTTTTCTCTTCATGAGCAATCCTAATCAGGTCATGATTTTGAACAGGAAAGAATGGACAGTTAAAATTTTCAATTTTAATAAAAATACAAATAATAAAAATATATAATATTATAAAAACTTAACAAATGAAAGAAAGGTGCTTAATAAAAAGGAGTAGGTTAAAACTACAGTAATTTCCACCTTGGAAGCCATTAGTATTTAACTCGTTAACAATGTGACCTATTCAATACTATCAGAGTTAATAAAAGAAAGAACATCCCAGGTTATCTTTAGGCTGGGAATTTGACAATAAACATGCTCCCAGGATTCTGGGTTGTTTATTTTTTCTTTTTTACCAAATAAAATGTACTTTCTTAGAGCAGGGGTTGCAGTCTGTGGGACTCTTTCAGTTTTGTGGGGTTTCACACTACAATTTGTATGCTACAACAGTTTAAATTTATCCAACCCTAGAAAAATGCTAGGGCTGCACATGCCTTAAAGATCTGTTGACTCAGACTTGTAATCATGTGCCTTTTGTTTTATAAACAAAACAAAGAAAGATGCTTTGGAATTTTAGCTATAAAAGTTTCAAATATATGTAGACTTTCCCATCTTTTCTAAAATCTAAAAACAGTAGAAATTAATGTACATGGCTTCTAATCTATCCTGAGCAATGCTACACAGAGGGAGAGAAAAAGGAATCACTAAGGGGAATAATTTTATTTCGCTTAGAGTTTGAGATTTTTGGCCATTGTAAAAGGCCACTGACACACAAGTCACTAACATCAATGCCATTAGAACTTCTTAATTTTGTCTAAAACAAGCACATTCTTTAAAGTTTGTGCTACAAGCTAAATGCCTTAATGGGAATCAGTCATCAGATATGGGCTGCACACCTACTCTAAATTCTTTTAATAAAAATAATTAGCATTATCTTAAAGACCCATTTGATTAAAAGCAGACAACCTAGAAAATACAAATTTCGTTCACAGTTCAGAAAGAAAAAGTAGGAATGTAAATAAATATTCAGTTAATGTATTTTACCCTTAACAACAAAATTTAATTTACATTTTTCTTGTTGTATCTGTAGACACATGTACACCTGCCCGACAATTATGGTTCCAACAAAAGTGTCTCTTTATAAATTCAAGAATATGCTAATCAAGAGCTTTATGGAATTCTGTAGTACTCACCTTGATGCCTTATAAGTGCGAAGATGAAAGAGACCCAAATTCTGAGTAATGATGAATAATTCATCCTGGAATTTTAAAAAGAAAAAGAAAAAAATCCCCAGCTTGCCAGAGTAAATAGAATATCAGGTGTGTTTGCTGGCAAATCCCAAGACACATCACAATCATCACAAAACAAATTCACATAACGACATTGACAGTTCTGAGTTAGGTTAAAATTCTTTGAATGCTGGTATGTATTTGTAAGTTCAACACTTCATGAACAAATTAGACTCCCCCATGAGCAGCCAGTTTGGAAGTGTAATGAGATCATTCAAATTATCAGGAAATTGTATTGAATCAATGCGAGTGGCGATCAGTAATGAAAAGGCATCTACTCTGTAGCTACTAAGGCATGAAAAATAGATGCAGGTCCTGTGTTGTGTCTCTATCATAGACAACTCATCCTCCTTGAAATCTGGCTTTCCTGATTTTTACAACAGCTTTCGATCAGGTTCAAATAATAGTCAGTTAAAACACAATGTTTTTCTACGGATAGGAAAATTTAAAGTTTGCCATTCCCTTCTTTATAGTATTTAGCCGCTCCACCATTTTGAAGTACTGACTAGATTTACTGGTAGGATAAGACTCTGTCCACTGACTTTCCATAGTGAAATGAACCATAGATACATTAGTTACAAAAAAGAACCATGCCAGGGTTGTTTCTTGGAATTGCAATAAAAATAGAACCCAGCATACAAGCAAGTAATTAGTTCCAGAAAATTAAAGAAAGAACATCAAACAAGTGAATTTGTTTTCATTTTAGTTACAATCAGTTGAACCGGCTGTTTTACCCTCCATTAGGAACATGAACAGCCTGTGCTGCTCGTAAAGCTGAGATGCAAACACGTATGCAAGCTCCAAGTTATACATATACCTGCATAAGAACCAAGTATATAAATAGATTGTGAAGTTTGCTTCTGACAGTATTCTTAAATACAAAAATCCTCTTATTTTTTGAAGCTATCACAATTCTTCAGCAAATATTTCATGGAAAAACTAGTGAATTTACCTTATGAAAATTTTACTGTAAACCTTCAGTTGTCAAGCATACACACTGAAATCTCAAGCACATAATAAATATTAGTTTTGCTGAAAGTGGTGCCAAGACTTTTGTAGAGATCACACAGCTTTAGCAGAGGGAGATGCCATGCACATTTAAGACTAGAGCCCTTAGGGAAACATTTCAGAGAGCAGTAAAGAGGATTCATTTAAGTATTTGTATTTATGAAAAATGTCACTAACCTGTTCTGTAGACACTGGAGGAATTGAGTCAGAAATATTAAGCCAAATCTTGGTAAACCAGGAAAAAAATTAGGCAAAACGAGAATTCATGTCTGTTCTCCCCTACTTGCTGCCAATTATTTCTGATTCCTGAAATGAAGTCTGAAGCCCCTACTCTTAAAACCAAAAATTCAGTTAGTCCTATACTAGAGTCAGATAAGTATTGAGTTGCAATCAAGTTTTTTTTTTTTTTCTGTTGATTAAGAAAATCTAAAGATCAGTTTCAGGATTGCGTAGAGCAGTTCTTTTCCTGAAAAACTAGACCACCCGCCACACACACCTTTAAAAAAAAAGAAAAGTAGATTCAGATGGAAATGTCAGGTACTTGGAGCTGAAACCTTGAGCTTTTCTGATCGGAATCACTTTGCACTGAAAAACACAAAAGAAACCCCCACTTCTATCTTTGTAACTGAAAAAAAAAAAAAGGCAACTGTATAATGTTACAGAATTAGCATCTACTAGCATGGGATTAAAAGCTGCTGCCTCTAACATTTAAATGAAGTTGATTTTCTACTAAAGTCTTTTTTTATTTCTCTTGTTTTGAACAGTTGCCACAGATAGGGTCTACTCTGTTTTTTCACAGGTGTGCATGAAGTATTTAAATAAAGCTTTTCAAACTTTTCTAGATTTCATTCTTTCCCTTTCCTCTCTGACTTACTGCTGTGCAGCATGACAATCCAGGGCACTTTCTAGCAACACTGAAGGAGGGTAAGGAGGGTGGGGCATGATCTTCCACAAGGGAAAAACCAAACCATACTCTGTAAACTTTCATGCCCAGTGAGGGTTCTCAGAGAGAGAGGGTGAGAGAGACCTCTCCTGATAAAAATTACAGTAAGTAAATAATTTAAAAAGTATTGTAAACAAGGGGAGAATGTGTTAAGTTGGATGAGAAATGAGAAAAAAATGGCTAAGGCATAAACTAAGTTTACTATTCAAAATATTTAGAGTGAAATTTGTTAAAAGAAAGAAATCACTTCAATGTAGCAGAAAAAAACTCTCTGTAAATTAATGGGAAATGTAAAATTACTCCAGATTTGTCTTCTGACCAGACATTTAAATGCTGACTGTACAAAAAAACTCATGTAATTCCAGTATTGAGCAAGTTGTCCTAAAATGGACAAGAGTGTTTAAGGAACTAAATTTTTATTCTAAATTTTTAAATATCTTTCCAAAAACCTGTGATAATTCAGTAGTTTTTGCATGTTAAGCTTACTCTCTCGTTAGTATTATGAATCCTCCATATGTAATTACTTACAGATGTCAAATGACTATTTTCCTCCAAAAGGCACATATTTATGTAACAGAAAATCTGTTTTTTGAATGCTTAATCGAAATAAAATTAAACCTAAACTCACATAGAAAAACATTCTTCTCACTCAGTCTTTATTAAAGTATTAGTCCAGTAGTCAACCTAAACAACTTGAAGCAAAATTGTTGACTCTATTTAAAAAACTGCTAGTGACATAAAATTGCTTTGGTCTCTTTTCTTCATGCTCGAAGATATATCTCAGCCCTTTTGAAGCATATTAAATGTTTCATCCTTGTTTAGGCACAACTGCTATTGAGATAAATGCTTTCTAGGCATAACCAAATATATAAGATGGTAGCATGTGCGTGTGTGTGTGTGTGTGTGTGTGTGTGTGTGTGTGTGTGTGTGTGTGTGTGTGTGTGTGTGTGTGTGTGTGTGTGAGTGTGTGTGTATGAAGGCATCATCTCGGTACATATCCCCAAAGATTTTGACTCGAGATTTCTCAAGACTTCTGAGCCCTCAGATATGTCCCAGTCCACCTCATTAAGAGCTGGAATTTCTCTCAGTAAGGGAAAACAAGGGAGAGCTTTCCCCTATAAGCGAGAGTTGCCCCTCCACACCTCTTTAGAAGTTGCTCCCATCTCTTCTCTTAACTGTTAGGTGGATAATCAGTGTTAAATTGCAGCATGGCCCAGCTAGAGATATGCTGGGCTTGATGAGGGAAGTGGGGGGCGGGCTGTACCCCAACGGAGTTGCAAGACCTAGCCAACACATACTGGCACAGAAGGAAGAGAAGAAAGTATCCATGGGGCTGTATTGTGAGGGTGCCCAGTCAAGGAAACTGGGCCATAACACAGAATAAGGGAAGGTTTGTTGATTTGGGGCACTCTCTAGGGATACAGCCTTTAACACTGGTAAGGTCCCCAGGAGATGGTGAAAAAGTCCCTGCTAGGACAGCTCCTAGAAGCCTGGAAAAAAGTGATGGCCCACATTGAGTGAGGTTGAAATGCCTCAATTACTGTGACAGATAGCAGAGGAAGGGATTAAAAGACTAAGAGAGGTGAACTTTTTGGATCAGATATATTATGTGCAATATATCTGGAATAGACACCTGATGATCATGTTCTATGAGAAGGCCCATATCATTCACCAAAGTCAGCAAGAATATGCTTATTAGAGAAGCATAAGCATTACTAAGAAGCTCAGTTGAGATGTCCCTCTGCAGGCCAATACTGATGGCAAGAGTGTGGTCACAGAACTTGACTGTATGATAGCAGTAGACATGATAGGCACTTGAAGCAATAGAGACCAGGTAGCAGCACTATACTGCATGAAGCCAGGAGCCATAATCTTCATAATGACCAACAGATGAGAAAGGTAGCCAAGAGGACTGATCCATAGAGAGTTTGTGGAGATGGTCTATAGAGCACGGCATTGAAGGAGCAAAGTAGATAGGAAGCCGACAAAGGTATTTCTTACTACAGCAGATAGTAAAAAAGAGCAAGAATTTATGAGCAAGAGGCTGAAGGCAGCTGCCCCAATAAAGTCTTGATCCCTGCTCAGTTTGTGAATCTGAGTCAGTTTTCAAATCTGGAATCCACAGACTAAAAAGATAACCAGATCCCCAAAGAGAAGAACCCTGTACTACCATGACAACTATATATAGTGATGATTCTTTCAGTCCTTCCCCCAAAAGACCTATGGCCATTTACTTGAATGACTATAGACTGGAGGAAAGGAGATATTTAGACATTTTGGAGACTGGGGCAAAACTATAATTGGACAAGAGGTTTAACATTAATAACCAAAGACCCTGAATGGGAATACATAGGACTCAGGTAAGAAAAGAATCCCTTGCCAAGTCCAGCTTACAGTGGGTCTACACAAGCTGTAAATTTACATGGATATAATTTTCCAAGTCCCAACATGTAATTGGGATAGATATATTTAGCATATTGGGGCCTTGGTCTGTGGGTATCTCTCTAGCCAAGGTAGTAAATACAAGAGTTAGGTGAAGACGATGATTAGTATCACTCTTAAAGATCAGGAGCAGGGAACTCTTTCATATCTCCATTAAATTGGCCATGATGGATCCTGAAGAATGACTGTCAATTACTGCAAGCTCAGACAAATAGTAGTCCCAATTTGCAGCTGCTGTACTAAAGTAGTATCTTTTCTAGAGCTAGTTAACAAGGCTTCAGATATATATATGCAGCCATTCATTTGGCAAATGCATATTTTTCCTATCTGAATCAGGAACAAGGATCAGAAATAGTTCATATTCAAGTAGAACAGACAACAATATACATTTATAATTTTGCCCCAGGGCTGAGATCTAGACTCTCTGGATTCTATAGAACATTGCCTTGATTTATTATGTTGATAACATCAAGCCGAATGGCCACTGAGCAAGAGGTGGTTAGCAGGCTGGGGGCCTTGTTAAGAGACATGTATTCCAGAAGGTAGGAGGTAAATCCTTCAAAGATTCAGAGCTA